GAATGGACGCATGCACGAAGGGACAGACAGGCGAACGAACAGACGGACGTACGAATGCACGGGCTCACGTAAGTGGAGGGCTCCGAAAATTTCGACCACCTCGGATTCTTTAACGGGCACCCAAATCTGAGCACACGGGCCTACAACATTTTGGCCTCCATCGAAAATGCAGCCGAAATTTAATCCCGCGACCTGCGAGTCAGCAGCCGAGTACCTTAGCCACTAGACCACCGCAGTGGGCTTGCATTGTCGGTAGATCAATAAACCTTCTTGCGGGGACGATAGTTAGAGCGTGAGAACTGAACGACGGCACAGAGACAAGAAGGACACGAGCGCACACGAAGGACACGAGCGCTCGTGTCCTTCGTGTCCTTCTTGTCTCTGTGTAGTCGTTCTGTTCTCGCGCTTTGACTATCGTCATGTCATACCAACTAGCCCAGCTGCCACACTCCTTTCTGTAGTCGGTTCAATCAGGCAGTTGCGCTCGAGGCACATGCCCTCGTACTGCTGGCGCGTGGGTGAACTCAAGCGCCGGCCCAAAAAGAAAGCTCACAATGTTATACTTATTATTTATTAAGAGAGCACCAGCCCTGGATGAAGAGGCTTTTTTGAACCACCACCATCACTAGCTACACAGGTCGGTTAACGCGTGCTTCGGAACTCGGCGGCTATGTGTGCCGCATAGAGCAGGTTTGTGCCAAGCAGCTCTAAGCATAGCGTTGCCGTGCGTATATTATGGTACATAGCAAGGGATGAGATATGCGATGTGATTGTGGGAAGGAAGAAAAGGAGGGAGCGACAGGGTGAAGCATTGCATGGCTTCTGCTGCTACCTGCCTGCACATCGTACGGCAGCAAATCGAGCGTGCGTTGGCTTATAACTTTCCTGGTTTCGCCACATCTCTCTCTCTCATCATATTTGCCCACCTGCGGATAAGCCTGAAACAACGCTGTGTAATTATTATTTCAAAATTTTTCTCGTAACACTTCCTTCCAATGTCATGCTAGCCAGTCTGGATCGCACACCCCATTTATAACAACGGCACACTGGGCTTGCCATCGAATTGCTCGATTGGGTGATCGATTGATTAGAGAACATATTGACCATACATTAAAGTTTCACTGGTGGAATAGGAGGGCTGTCTCGTCTGGGTGCCTGCTGCTTTCATCTACACACACACACAATTTTTTCACCACAAAAAACAAACAAACAAAGAGAAAATGGCAGCAAAAGTATGGTCTTGAATATTGCTACCCATACATGTTGATTATGTGCTCACCGGGTGTCGCAGAAGGAAGAACAGAAGAAGTAAAAATGACAACGTGGCAGCCTATAGCAACAGAATCGGGCGTGTCGAGGTTTTGCAATGTCCAGATGGTTCGGGCTCGCTGCCAACTACACTTGGCCGTTTCGCAAGTCAAGTGTGCGACTGTGTTTTTTCTTTTGACAGTGGAAGAGTTGTGTCACCTAATTTGTTGATGACGAAGAGCCGGTGTCTGAATAATTAAAATGATAATAATACACACTTTCTAAAAATTGCCTTCCTGCCGTATTCACGACCGACCGTCGACAGACGAGACGATTTCAAAGTGTCTGTTTTGCTTCGTTGTTCTCGAGAAACCACGCGGTGCAAGACACTCCGTAGGCCGGAGTGTCGTCAAAACACTTGCATCATCGTTGAAACTAATGCAAGACTCCGAAAGCAATGAGTGTTCTCGACGAGTAAACGAGTCACGAACGAACGCAAGAAAGAAAAGGGCACCTAGGTGAGATGGCTGCTTCGTTATTAAAGTATTAGCTAAAATTACAGGGTTGTGCGAGGAGGAACACAAAAAAAGTTAAAGCGCAGGCTGCTGACTGGTTTATTGGAATCTATAGGTCGTTACCGTACATATATACCTAACGAAAATACCGTACGTAAAAAAGCTTCTTCATACTGGCTTAAAAGGCACAATCACTGAAAATAATTTTGAAGCAACTCTTGTGAGCAATTAAAATTGATAAACAAAAGTTGATCTAAAAGGATTCTACAAGATTTCCTGTTTATGTCCGAGAAAGAGGAGGAGGATTGATTTATCGATTGATATGTGAAATTTAACGTCCCAAAATTACCATATGATTATGAGATATGCTGCAGTGGAACTTTGACCACCTTGTATTTTTAACGTGCATCCAAATCCAAACACACGAGCCTACAGCATTTTCGCCTCTATCGAAAATGCAGCCGCCACAGTCGGAAAAAAGAGGAGGAGGAGAAGAAAAAGAAAAAGCAGACACTTGACACGTGTATTGATTTATTCTAGAAAACCACTCAATTCTTGGCCAATCCCCCAGAGTGGGTAGACGCCCCTGTTAATAGGTGAACAAGAACAGGAACTATCTGTGGAAGGTAGTCTGCCAGGCTATTGCGTGGTTATTTGATGGCGACTTCCTGAAGCAAGCTGCCAGAAAGGTCAAGACAGAAACGACCGAGAAAGCGAAACTGCTTATACCACAGTAGCCAGCAAAGGACGTTGGGACATTGTTAATCCTTATTTTGACTGGAGGCGCACGTGACAAAGCCATGTATCCTAAAAACTGAAGCCGACGCGGTGGCACTATAGTCGTTATCTCCTCTTAACGCTTCGCATTGCGCGGCAGTTTGGCGAAGAATCCTCGTTAAAACGCGAGACGCGTCCTTTGTGTACGCGCGCGCACACCTTGCCGAAGTAAAAGCACGTGATTCACCCGTCCTCTTGTTGTCGTCCTTGCTATCGTCACCGCCTCGCTTGTGTCTTACCCGAGGCGACATTCACGAACAATGCCAAGGCGTATTTCCCCTTTGTGTCTGGCTGCTATTTCTTCATTTCACTTTAGTTCGTTGTTTAGAGGACGTTATGAGAACGTGCTGCGCTCCGCGCAGCCTTCATGGCGTGGTCAAGCGTCCTTGACTTCCGAGGTCCAGGGAGGGTCAAGACATCGGTGTTTCGCAAGTGGCGCGCTCGTCTCTCCTGGCGCACTTGGTGTTCTCGCCGAGAACGGAGAGGGACGCCGAAGCCAGCAACGCAGTTTGTCATCGCTTCCTGGAAGGCGCGCAATCGTCTGCGTTCGCCAGCGACCCTGGAACAATCTGCGCTATTACTCAACCGAACGGCAAGGGTTGCTTACGAGCAGTCGGCCTCGGCTGGCCATATTGATGGATTCTTGTCCGTTTTTCGGCTAAATGTATCCGTCGTGCGCGACTGTAAGAGAAGCGCGAGAGGAAACGATCGAACGCAGATCCTTTGCAATATGTGTAACGATTTCGAAATCGGTGTTGCTAACGCGACGAAAGCGACAAATTACTGGCTGGAACGCTTAAGTAATCATCGAACAAGTGGTCGGTTGAAAAGAGGACTTTGTGGGACCTGGGGTCCTGGTGAATAAACGAAACGAACTTTTCTAATTTCGAACGTTATGCGTGTGTCGACATCGCCGAAGACACCGACGGATGTCGAGAATTAGTCAACGTGAAAGTCACAGGGGAAGCTCTCATTCAACAAAGAAAGCTGATGGGATCCGTGGCGCCTTTCGACATCCAAGGACGCACGATGAACACAATCTTGGAAGGAGGAAAGTTTCCCAGAAAAATCGATAAATGCGAGCCAGTTTTCAAATGTGCTTTAGAGGCGAGTTTCGCTATCAGCGCACGCGTACGAGATGGAGAAAGATAAAGAGACGTCGAAGGACATTGACGCCTCTCGTCATCTGATAGTCTGACTGTTTTCTCCATAGAATTTACATTAAATTGCTATATTCTTTGGTTCAAAGTTACAGCGTTTGTATGTATTTATTTCAGAGACCCTGCCGGCCTGGTTTTCGGCCCATCACCTATTGTGACTGAGTGCCATCAGCAAAAAGACACCATCATTATCATTATTAGAGAAACGAAATATATTGGATCATGGCGTCAGCACAGGCCCATTTCAACCCGCATCTATGGAAATCCCGGTTCTTGCTAATTGGAACGTTCCCGTTTGTTTTAAATTATTCTCAGCAGAAGTAACAAAATACGGCAGTTCTTACTCATTCTGGGTGTTGTCATGCAAACAATAGGTAAGTAGGGGCAGTAATATAAAATCGAAACTACATGTTAAAGAACTATTGAAATGGTCACAAACCAGCATCGACGGAGGTTTTAGCACAAATGAAGAGAGTTACTCCGATCTCTCTGCGAATATATATATATAAAGAAAGGGCCAAGTTATGATGCCGACACAGGCTTGCTGCGTCCACTGTAATACACGCCAATTTAAAGACCTCGTAGTGCTATTCTTTCGCATACTCGGCTTGGACTAGTCATTCGCCGTCCGTGAATATCAGAACAAGTTAATCTGGTCAAAGGCGCTCCGAAGGAAAAGTAAACAAGGCTTCCATCGAGTACCAGTTTTCCCCCGAAGTCGCTGACCGCGCATATGCCGGATGGATATGTAAGCCAGGCAGAGAGAGTGCTGAAAATATGGCCCCACTTCACACTGACACAAAGTAATTTCACCAGGCTCTCGCACAGAATGGCCGCGGATTCAAATATCGCGGGCCCAATAGTGCCAAAAATGTTTTCTTTACCTTTGTCACGTCGAAGTCGAGATCAACCACCACTGCCACACACAAGGGACGTTTCGGCGCTTAAAACCAGCCGGTAGGTCCAGAAAGGCGCGAACCGAACCACAGCCAACAAGAGCTGCCCGGGTTTCCTGTAGCGGGGGCGCTAAACTCCACTATAGTTGCAGAGCACGTGAGATGCGCGGAGGTTCACGCGCAGACACAAAAGCGCAGGCGCGTGAAATAGCGTTCACGATGCGTAGGCGTTATATGACCGGTGCGTCGTACGCTGCGAGAGGTCAACCCAGATGAAGCCTGGAGAGGGGGCTGTGGGAGTGAAGGGGTCAGAGCGCGCTCAGTGCGATCTCGCGAAGCGGCAACAACTGAGCGGGCCCGGCTTAAAGGCTGCCCCCGACAAAGAACACAGTGAGTCCACTCACCCGTGGGGGCTGGAAGCAGCAGAATGGCGACCCACCGGGGAAATCAGCCTCCGGCGGCGCTAGCGAGAGAGAGGCGGCGGCGCTGCGCTCAAGGACAACCGCCCTTACGCCGCCGCGTGCATGCGCCAGTCAACCAGCCACTGCGCCACTCTGTCAGCACGGGGGGTTTCCCCAAAGAGAAAATCTTTATTGCCAGATCTGGGCGACACACGCCTCACACACGCACTGCGCCACCAGCGCCGTTCGACACAACTCCCGAGAAATCGGCATCTTGTCCAGGCGCCTGGTTCAGGCCACGACGTTGCATCGGCGGTCGGGGGACGCACTGCGCAGGAAAGCCAAGAATCGCGTTGTCTTATGGCACGCAAACAACGAGCTCTCTCTGTAAGAGCCGATGTGGCCGCGTTTTTTATTACCTCGAGCGCATCTTGTCGCGTCGCTCGTCTCCGGGCGGCGGGGCTGCGGTCTTCTTGGGCGACACAGACCCGGTCATCCCGGTTGGCCGGAATAAGCGGTGCGCCAGCATCTTGTTGTAGATAAAGTCCGATCCGTTGCTCTCGATGGGCAGCGCGCACCAGGTGAGAAGCAGGAACTGCACATCCGTGTCGGACAGTTGAAAATTGCCAATTGGATATCAGTGTTAGGTTTACAGAAATTCCTCTCTTGTGGAAACTGTCACCGCGCATCTCGCTAATGTTTTCGCGGTTGCACAATCGAAACCACAAACTCGCCTACTGAACTTTAGGAGTGTCGTTTGAAGATAAGCAATCACATTACAAAGAAGCGGTCAAATATGCAATTATGGATGTGATCTAAGAACTAGCGCTACCTTCGAAGATGTTCTAATTGTGTGTGCCTACCATCGAGCCGTTTTACATTGAATGAGTCTCTCGCCCAATCTCTGCAGAACGGTCAAACCGTGTAAAGTACCAGATTACATGTGTGAAGACTATGCGGAAGAAATCACCGTCTTTCCGCTAAATACGTAGTCGACTTTACGTTAACTCCTTTTCGGTCATCGATGCAAAGTTACCCCGCTCGTACCCGCGTGTTCGCAAATTACTATACAAATAACCCCTCGTTACCGGTTAGTATTGAAATGAATAAACATATGGAAACATACGGAAATAAACTGCTACATTGTTGGTGTTGATACAGAACAGACGCAGTTATAGGATTTTGCATATTTCCGTAGTTTTATTCATGCCATTGTGAATCAGACATCAAGGGGATTCCGCCCATGATAAATTCCGAACGAAATGTTTATACGAGACGTTTTTGAAGTATGGCTTGCACAAGTATTTGTACACAATGGTTTATTTTATACAAGCATTTGTACAGCAATGTTTGTTCCAAACGGATTCTGACTTCGGTTCACTTTGCGATAGTACGTATTCGTTTCCTGTCGCTATATTTTATCTACTAAAGAACACAAAAAAAGAAAACAATACAGTATCGTAGAGTCATCCTATGGTGTCCTATATTTGACTTCGGTGACTGATGTATATTGCATTAGCTGTTTTGACTATATAGACTTATCTCCCGAGATCCCATTCACGGGGTGTTAAGCGCTCATAAGATAGGACTATCATGCAGTTTGGCAATGTCGGAAAATGAAAAAAAGATGTAGAGATTAAATGCTTGTTTAGTGTAAAGAAGATGTTGTCGTCTTAAGATGGCAAGAAAAAAAGGGGTTGAAATAAAGAAAGTGTAAGAATTCGAAACAGTCTCTTGGCGACAGATTCTGTTGTCAAGCTCACCCTAGTACTATAGATATCGTGATATGATACCGCGCCTTAGCATAATCTCGCAAATATACGGCTTTGACGCAAGCACAATGCCTGAAAAATGAACAGAACAGTACCAGTCGAAGATTTAAAGTTAGTTTACGAAGCACATTGACGTTCGTCATTGGCCTCTTTTTAAAAACGGAGCATGGAGCTCAGCATTAGTGTCACCGTACTGCTTGGCGATTGCATTAGACCGGACCAGGCTCAATTACGTACCGAATAGAATCTGTTTAAGTAGCTCGCAGCGCTTCGTGAAATGTCAAACACAGTTTGGCGCAAGTGGACTTTTCGCTTCACAGACACTTCGCTGCGAAGTTTGACAAAAAACTTTGAAAGTTGGGCACCGACACGAAAATTGATGCGATACTTCAGAACTGCCTTCTATAGTGGACTCCCTGCTTATTTGTAATTGTCAGCAGTGTTATTGACTGCAGAATCTAGGTGTTTCGTGAGTCTTTCTTCATTAATAAGAGTGGAGATTGGGGGTGATCGATCAATTCAATTTAAAATGTCGGCCTTTTCTCAGAAGGCGTGTTGTCATGGCAGGGCAAAACACTCCTGCAGCGGACTCTTTTAAACTGCAATACGTGACAGCGCTGCCACTGTTCGACAAGGTGGAGCAGCGGCCATGGCGCTTGGCTGCAGACTTGAAGGTCGTGGGATCGAATCCCGGCTGCGGCGGCTGCATTTTCGATGGATGTGAAAAGGTAGAGGCCTTTGTGTTGTGCGATGTGAGTGCACGTATAATTAACACCAGATGGTTGAAATTTCCGGAGCCCTCCATTACTGCGTCTCTAATAATTATAGCTTAGTTTTGGGACGTAAAACGCAAGATATAGAAAAAAAATGTTGCCACTGAGGCGAGGTGAAGGGGAAGGGGGCTGATGCCAGGATTGATCGCCAATCATCCACAATATTGCGAAACAATAGTTTGGCAATCGTTTTCGCAACTGGTCAGACATGGGAGCCCGAGATCTCACAACCTTGGTGTATGTACGTATATATGTTACAAAAAGTTTGAACAATACCAGCGTAAGAATCAAGAACTCGGTCGCCACAATGGTAAAGTATACTCGTAAAACGGAAGTGAAATGAAGCAAGCATTTAGCACTCTGATATTGTGACATCTACAGTGGGTACACCAATTACGTCAAATGAAGTAATCTGCAGAAAGGTTTTACCGCATAATCGGGATATCGAACATCATGAATGATGGCTTCCATCCAATGACGAGAAGGCGAATTCTCGACGCTAAAGCCACACCTAGGAGAACTGAGGCTACCTAGGCTCGGCACTCTTGAATATTCGACTTGGCGAGTTCATGATCTTTTCAAAGGGAGAAGGCTGAGGACAGATATACGCCCAACAAGTTTCTTCATAAATTCGTCTAAGCTGATCCAGCCAATATGCTATATAAGTCGATAACCCTAGTAATATAGTCTTATGGTCTCTGTGCAAATGCGGTTCATGCGTCTATCGCTTCATAACGACTTTGTCGTTGAGATAATTGTGAAATTAGGTGCCGTAATGCAAAGTACAACAAAATATATTAACAAATAAGCACAGTTACGACAAAACGCGACGCAGTTGTCAGTTGCTAAGCTTTTTAAAGCTGCTTCAGACCATGCTGACCTCTTACTTCAAGTATAGCTTGCGCAGACAAAATACTACAGTTCAAGAGGGCGGCGTTTGGGGATCCATATAGTCAGTATGCTGTGATTTTAGCTCAAATAAATTTTATTTTGGTGAGTAAGTTTTCATCTACATCCGCTCTTTCATTGAAAAAGACAACCCCCCCCCCCCCCCCCCCCCTGTCATAAACTTCATCTACAATTGTCCAGCAAAGCGTCTGGATGCGGACGCCAGTGGAACGAGGCCTTACGGCCGTGTCATGAAGTTCCTTGGAGGAAATGGGACATGACGCATCGTCGAGTAAGAATGAGCGATCAGCCTTGTCATGGACCAGACAGATATCCGCGAAGTGCGGAACAAAGACAAAGGTATACTGTGTAACAACCGCCGTGGATGTCGCGTTTATAACGGCCCTGCTACGGCAGTTAACTCATTAGGATGCCTTGAGGCGCGTTTTGTCCCTGTGCGCGCATCTAGGCACACCAGCTGTAATGAGGGTGCCTATGACGCTTCGATACCCACGTTAATTCGCACGGGCTGGTGGTATACCGTCTGTTGTTTGACCCAATATGGTGACACCACACATCGCGAAAGCTTTCATGACCCAATATCACGGCGTGCACCACGTTGCGCTAAAGATGGTGTTGAGGCACGAGTGCCTGGATACCAGTGCTAGTATATACCAGTGTCGGACCGGTCGATGCAGACACGTGCGCGCGCGCTGTGAGCTTTCGCGATGCGCGGTTGTGCCAGTTTAGCGCGTCCCTACCAGGTGGTCTACCCATGGCGTAGGGGGTAGCACACCAGAGCCGTGGAACCTTAACAAAATGACGCATGACCACATCTGCCTGCCCGGCCTCCGCTTCAGATGAACGTGCCGTCCCCCGCCCCAACCCCCGTAGCGCTGGCACCTAACCCTAATAAAACGGATATAATGCAAAGCATACGATACCTTGACCATGTAGATTTTGATGAAGTAGCGGCCCATCAAGCGCACCAGGAAGCCGAGGTAGTAGTTGAGGATGACGTAGATGAGCCAGTACGCGGTCCACTTCTGCATGGAGGCCGGCTCCTGTCGGTCGAGGGCCCGCAAGCAGCCCAGCACCCCGATGACGGTGGTGATGGCCTGGCAGAGGAAGGCGCTCATCACGTCCATGGTGAACATGATGGCCACCAGGCCCGCCACGCCGTACACCAGGTACTCGCGGCGCAGTTTGGTCTCGCGTTCGAAGCGGTCCAGCGTGGTGTCGATGGGGCCCCGCTCCCGCAGAACGCGGCCCAGCTCGTCTCCCAGCTCCTGCGCCATGGTCGACTCCCGGTCACCGCGACCTGGCTCGAAGGGCGCTCTCGCGTAGCGGGTAGAGGAATTTCGAAGAAGACGTCCAGGCCAGTTGCGGCGCGCTGCCACCGCCCCGAGTCGACCAATGGCGCGAGCTCCGCGCACTGCCTGGAACGCCCTCGCGAGCTCCGTGCACGCTTTTTCTTCCTCCGTGTGAATTGCAGAGTAAAAGAAGAAAATGGACGGCACTTCGTACGCCAATATTTACTATTCCACTATCAAATTAATTTCATCTTTTTTTTCTTTCCCGTAAATATATCCATTGCAACCTTTCATTAAAAAAGTATTTCATGAAAACTAACCAGGTTTTGGCCAATACCACATCGTGGGCGAGTGCCACATTTTCAAGAAACTTGAAAGTGATCACCTGACAAAACTGTGAAACGTTTAGCAGTCATTCATAAGGGGGTTGGCTCTAATAAATATAGCAGTGATTGGTACAAGTCAGGTTTATAAAGAATGAAAGAAAGAAAGAATAACTAAGTTGAAAGCTAGACCTTTTTTTATCTTTATGTGGAAACCTGAGAAGGTAGGCTGCGTTGGGCTGCAACGCAGGAACGCGCAGCTTAGTGGGTAAAAGAAGCAATATTCAGACGGGAGCGGACGAAAGATTCGCAAGCATCTTAGAACCCTGGAGGAGTTCTAGCCTGCCTGCGCCTTTGAAGGGGCCCTACAACATCATTTTTGGCATGGTCAGAAAACGCGGCCGATCGGTAGTCCAGGCTCCCGAGAACGCACGAGCGAAATAATATAGCGCCGCACGTGGCCTGGAATTCACGATAAATTCTCAGTAAACGCTTCAAACTATGTTCACGTAAAAAAAAAAAAAACGCCAGGCCTGCGTGGAAGGCACAGCACAGTCACCGAGAAAGCTATAGAAGAGCGGCCTTTCAGAGCCTTTTCTTAACACTCATTGGGTAACTGCTGCAGCACACTTGCTTGATGCCCACTACGGCATTACTAATAAAAAAATAGGGTTGTAGTAGGCCGGCATTCTCTATGCTATTTTTCGTCATTCTTCTGAGAAGCGTGGTATCCGCTAAACTAATGCGAAGAATTATGTGCCCATTGTTCATGCAGTGGCTGACAACGATGAGGAATAATGCCTGAAGTGGGTATGTGCCACAGTTAATAGCTGAACAAAAACAAGCCTTTGTAATGATTTGGAGCATTGCACGACCCACTCGTAACGCTGTTCACATTGTGCGATGACTGCTTGCTCTTTCGCTGTTGTAAAACGCTTTATAAGTCGTATTAACGCGACTGCTTTCCCGACATCGAGCCTGCCCACGATAAGTTTACTAACAAGTCCCAAGCACTAAAATGCTAGTCACTATGTAACCATTCCGTTCGTTACCTCTGTATGTACTGTTTAAGCACTGCGATTATTGTATGATATTCAAAAGTAGGTAATAAATAAAAAAACAACGACGTGGCTCAGCCGTAGATTACTGCGCTGGCACCCAGCGGATCCGGGTTCGAGCCCCACTGTGTCATTGGTACTAAGTTTTTTTTTCTAATTTCGCGCGAAGTGGTTACGGACACCGGCGACGGCGGCGGACAACTATGGCGCTGCGCGAGACCCGAGATGCGATCTCATGACAGGTTTCGCTGTAAAATCACGTGGCAGAAAAGCGTGACTGACATGGCTTCGTTTCTAGCATGTTATTCCACAATTTACTTACCCCTGTTCTACCTTCCCGCTTCTATACTCGCTGTTCTGCGACTACAGGCTGATGTCGCATGCGTGAATTAAAATATTCATCACCCGTGACTACCTTCCGCTTTCTTCGGAACGTCCCCAAACAACGATCAGGAATTATGGAGCTGAATGCGCGCAATCCACTTGCATTTTCACACACTGATTAAGAATATGTGAACGCCGGTGTTCACAAAAGCAAAAAGTCCTGATATCATTGTCACAGTTACAGAGTCGTTATTTTTTTGTCCTCTGATCAAGGCTAATACGGATACTCAAGCAGCGAATTGGCTCAGTAGGGTGTGGATTTTTCCATTACTTACTGCAGGGAGTAACATTCCCGGATGCCATGAAATTATTTAATATATCGATGTAATGATCAGTGATGAAATATTTAAAGCAGACAGAAATTAGCCGAGTGATTCTTTTATTATCAATGATAGACACACGCTAAGGAGAACGACTCCAACAGTTGTTTTCATCTACGCACGGAATAGAGGAGCGCCTTGATTTTATACCACTCTTGAGGTATTCACGTCATTAATGAAGTTACCGGATTCATACGAATACAATTCTTTTCTCTAATGCATCATCCTATTTGGGTGCCGTCAGTAAATTTCGACGGTCACTCTTTCCTACAAAAATTTCGGCATCTTCGTTTCAACACGGAACAAAAACGGGTCGCGCAAAATATGCATGCATAAATCTCGGCCACGTTATACAGCAGTCGTTCCTATAGGAATTCAAGACACTGTTTTTCTTTTCTTTACCAAGGTTTTGACGGCTCACTGCGTCAGCTTTTGGGACAGCCGACCTCGTTTGGAGCACGTGCACTTCTAGCAACTAATGAAAGACAAGATTTTCGACCATCATGAGTATTTTTCTAAAGCGGCTTATCCATGGGCTGTGACTATCTTCTATCCAGTGGATGACTATGCGAAGAAGCACGTTCATGTCCTTGCGGCATTATCACGCGCAGTTTGGAGTTTCCCCTAAACCAGGTCACGCTAAACTGTGTCGCGTTCTTCATGTATCTTCAGTTTCACACGTATCGCTGTGCCACGTTATCATTGTTGTTATCTCGGGCATACTGACTTGCTCTTGAGCTCAACGTCTTTTTCTCTTGGAGGCTATGGACTCGATCTGTCGTGCTGCCGTAGGGGCGACAATGCTGAGAAGCAATGCGCACGACGTACCCCGTACGGGTGCCCGCGACGTGGCCTCGTCATTATCTGGGTTTAGCGAACCAGAGGCCCGCATGTTGAGATGTCCACTGTTTTGCTTTGGCAGTTGTAGGTAGCAAGTAGTGAACACGCGCTAGGGATAAAAGAACACACACACACGCACACGCACATGCACACGCACGCACGCACACACACACACACACACACACACACACACACACACACACACACACACACACACACACACACACACACACACACACACACACACACACACACACACACACACACACATATATATATATGTATATCTATATATCTCCCTTCGTCAGGACTTGAGTGAAGGGCATTGATTGTAAGTCATGTCCTGATGAGGACGACAAGAACTGCCCTCCAGAAATGGTTTGCGAACAAATATCTATTTATTCTGTTACTTAAAGACAAAGTTTTTCCTTTACAAAATAGCCCAGTACTTGAAAAAGACTGGTTGCATTGACCCATTATTCTTCGTTCTATATACATAAACTCCTGCTCTGCTGATGACCCCTCGCGCTTCTGACTTTGCGAGAAGTAAACTCAAACTCATATTGCCTCATGGCAGTGTGATCTGCATGATCGGTATGATTTGTCGCAGTTGTACGACCACTTATAACAATATTTTAATGTCATAATATTGTTCTTGCATCTCTTGTATTGCTTTTTTATTTTGCGGATGCATACGGTGTTCTTTTTGGGTTTTATATGACGACCACTAACTCTTGGTTATTCTTGCAGCTATGCTTCCGATAAAGGCCAACGGTCTTGATTGATTGATTGATTGATTAATATGTGGGGTTTAACGTCCCGAAACCACCATATAATTATGAAAGACGCCGTAGTGGAGGGCTCCGAAAATTTCGACCACCCAAATCTGAGCACACGTGCCTACAACAATCCCGCCTCCATCAGAAATGTAGCCGCCACAGCCGGGATTCGATCCCGCGACATGAAAGGCCAACGGTCATTGTGTTTTTTTGGGGGGGGGTCATATCTGTCAGACACTATCTTCTGTGCGTCACGCTTGAAAATATTGTTTTTTTTTTGTGATACCTATTTAAAGAACAGCGACTGTCACTGCAAGAAAAGACAATTCAATTTTATCATTGGCTAATTATACCATGGTGTGTGTGTGTGTGTGTGTGTGTGTGTGTGTGTGTGTGTGTGTGTGTGTGTGTGTGTGTGTGTGTGTGTGTGTGTGTGTGAACGTTAGAGTCGATTATCACAAGCTTCGATGAACGCACCATTTTATGTTTCAGTGCAATAAAAAATGGCAGCATATCCACGGAGTGAATGATGGAGAGTGGGGCGAAGAATTCGTCCGTCCGTTCGTTCTTGGTTCCGTCCGTCCATGCGTCCGTCAGGTTGACCGTCTATGCGTCCATCAGCCCGTCCGTGCGTGCGTCTGTTCGTGCGTCCGTCCCTGCGTTCATCCATGCAGCCGCCCCTGCGTCCGTTCATGCGTCCATCCATGCATCTGTCTATGTGTCCGTTCGTCCATCTATTCAACACTCCAAGTACCACCATCTCGCGTCTTTTCATCATATATTCCCCATATAGAAGCACCGCCATCCAGCGGACATTCCAAGGACTAAACGAGAGGTGGCACACGCACACTTTCTTACGGCTTGCGCTTCGGGTCCACTTCCCACCTTTAACCACTTCGAGTTCATGGTATATACTAGTTCACTGTATTCATGGCACTGCGGCCGAACGGTCGCTAAACTTTTCGAACACCAAGGAGGTTACGCCCAGCGAGTATGACATAGCAAACTTTTTCAGTCATATAGTGCTCAATGTACATGCCAATGGCTGCTAATGGGAAATGAGAGGCGGAGAATTCGGCTTTTACTTTCTTACGGCTTGCGCTTCGTATCTACTTGCTATTTTTAACCACGTCGAGTTCATTCATGGTATATACAAGTTCATTGTATTCATGTCACTGCGGCTCAACGCTCGCTAAACCTTTCTAAAGCTAAGGAGGTTACATCCAGCTAGTATAACGTAGCAACCCTTTCTTGTCAGATAGTGCTCAATGTACATGCCAATGGCTGCTAATGGTGATCGCAGCTTGCGCGTTAACTCAAAGCCGAATGCTCCTGTCTCTCATTCCCCATTAGCAGCCATTGACATGTACATTGAGTACTATCTTTTATTGCTCAACAACGGACAGAAGAAGTCTCTCACCGGCACCACCTTGGAGGTCAAAATGTTATACCTGTTACATACTACGGGGGACGAACGGGTGCCGCTATAAGGAGTTTCGCCCCTAAAATGGGGGCGAGTTGGTTTTGAGCACGCCGCCCTTTGTTTTCCATTCTTGTGTGCCATTTTCAGCCTCGTCCTCTTACACCATGAAGTCCTCTCACATCATGAAACCATCCACAGTTTTTTTTCTTTGCTGTCGTGGCCATTTTACGAGTCGCCGTAAGTGTCATACTTCTACGTCGTATAAAAGTTCTCGTTATCATAGTTTGAGTCTTGGGCATGATCGTTGGTGGTCGGGTGATAATTTTGTAAACTTAATTTTGCAACTATAGGCTGGTAGCACATTGGTAATAAACTTTGACACTCGGCTGTCCAATCCACCCATCTTGCCTAAAAAAAAAAAATGTAGAACGTTCTCCTCGACTATTCTTCCTGAACGCTGCTGTCTGCATGAACGTTCACCTGTGAACGGCGCAATCATAAAAAAAAGCAGTAAAATATAGTAACTGCTGCATTTACCACCCTTATGACATCTTTACTACGGGTCAATTAGGTTTTACAAACATGAAACTGTAAGGCAGGTAGCAACCATCATCGTTACTAAGCGTCTCAGTCTTAGTAATGACGGTTACAATCACGCTCGTAACGGGCTGGTAAGTGTTACTACCTTTACTGGCTGTATGATATGTTGTTACCGTGAGTTTTGTGAAACATTTGGATAAACTATATTGTTCTTGATTACATTGAAATAACAGTTTTTTTGCTTCGTCAAGACACGTGTGTGCAAGCTGTAAAATATAAGAGTATGGCGTGCTATTCTGGACACTGTCTAATTCCGCCATATTGTCAAATTTCGTAATGGCGGCATTTCAAGCCAATCAGAAACGTCGTAGCAGCTCACTTGGCCAATTATCATCGATCAGTGGCGGAATCTGACAACATGGCGGAATTCGACAATGTCCAGAATAGCACTCATGGTCTAAATAATTGATTGTGTGTCTATGTTCATGGCTTCTCATCGATTAAACGTGCGCTACCCCAAATTAGTGCTATATAAAGCTTTTCAGTTGCTTTTAGAATATATAATATATATATATATATATATATATATATATATATATATATATATATATATATATATATATATATATGTATATATATATATATATATATATATACGACGCTAGAACCCTTACATTTCTCTGTGTACATCTGCGCGCGCATGTGTGCTCTATGGTTATCCATGCCTCTATGATGACATTGCGTATCTGAATATGTGATTGTGTTGTGTATTTACCTACGTTATGAGATGCAGTAGTAAGCGATTATTAATTGGCCGTCACAAAAGAATGGCATTGTCACTGCGACGTACCATAAACCGAGCCCTTTCGGCACTTTAAACCCAAGAAACCGACATGCCGTACTGTTTCACTCTTCTGCTGTGATAGCATTAACTTGCCAGTAACTGTCTCCAGTTAATAAATAGTTAGTGAATGTTGTGACAAGCGTTTGCTTCTCGAAAGTCACAAAACGCCACTATTATGACTGTGGTGCTTAAACTGAGATGTCCTTTTGGATCGCGTGGTTTGGTTTGAGACAGCAACACGCTTTACCATTTACAGGCTTACGCGTGCTTTTGTTGCACCAGTCTACCTACTCGGCCTAGGCTACGTATATTTTTCAGGTACATTCAACGTTGTATAGTTCACTTTCTTTACTGCGCCTTTGTTTAGTGTTGCTTGGCCAACAGTTCCCTCTGACGATCAGAATGACGATGTTATAGGCTGCCGGCGGATCTAGCCCTGTGAAACTTGCAGGCAATAGCACCGCCCATTTTTTTTTTTGTTTGCAGATAATATTGAACTAACTTCCCAGTTTCTTTTATCCAAGCAGTGTTCCCGTAGGATTATTCTTTTCACTGCTGCATGAGATAAACTCTGACAGCGTCATATTTAACCAGAGGCGTAGTTTGAAAATTAATAATACACTGTGACTAAAACGCGCTTCATCCTCATTTTGGCTCTACTATATCTACTATAAGCGTTGCTGAAGGTTTGTAGTGACGTGCATTGAAAGCATTAAAAGTTCGATGTTTGCTCCCCCCCCCCCCCCCCAGTTCACGTTTGCGAAAGTGAAACCTCCGTGCCTTCGTTGCTCTCATTCAATACGATGGTTTCTCTGTCTAATACTATTGTTCGGCTCTAAACCCGAAGTTTACAGCAAATACAGAGCAGTCATTCTTCCTTGCCAAAGCTTCGAGTTTCGACAAGGTAGCTGCTAGCACAACACTCCAGGAAATAAGCTGGCTGTTGAGATTTCCCGCTTGCTTACTTCATGAGGGGGCGTGTGAATAGTGATTTTTGAAATCTTAGCGAATACTATAGGGCCACAAGCTAAGAAATTTAAGTGTAGAGTCGTTTTCGAATACTGAAAAGACGATTTTAAAATTAATAAACAATACGCGTTGTTCGCACTAATATTCATGACGTTCAGGAACCTATGTGAGCCGACTCTTCGCGCGTGCCTAACTATTCAGTGATTGCAAATGATTGTTACAAAGCTACCAAAGTCTGCCTCCACAAGAAACTGCGTACGAAAAAAAAAAAAAAAGAAAGTTATCGCGCCTTCGCAACCGCAGAATTGTGTTCATTTTGGGGCACTTATAATTGTGTTATACGTGAACTATTCGAAAATTGTATTCACGAATAATGGTTATTCTATTGAAAGATTCACTCGAATAGAAAATTATTCGGTTTACTATTCTAAATTTTTGAATGTTTGCACGCTCCTGTAATTTTTACACTAGTTATGTTGATTTTGATGTTACGCGTACTAGCATCTGTCACAGAAAAGTGATCAGTACAGAATCGAGGCGCTGACAGTGTCGCTAGTTTTCGTGTGTATGATCGAGCTGCACTTTGCCCAACGCTCAGCCCCCCTCTCCCTTTATTATCCTTGTGTGGCCGCAAACTGAGAGGAGAATGTGGGTAAAGCCGTGCCCCGGGTAAAGCCGTGACCCAACAGCGGCCGAAGTTTTGCAGGGATACCTTTATGTCTTACTCCGCTCGGTGCTATTGCAATGGGAAATCCCCACTCCACAGCGGCTGCGTGGTTCAGACAAACAGCTGTTGGGGTTGCTCGAATTGCGGAAAGATTGCGTACCTTTACCAACTACATCTTGGGCAAATACCTTCTAATATTGTTATCTACATGGCGGACAAATGTTCCTCGGCCCAGTGAGCGCACTGTATGGACTTTCCACATATTATGGTCCAGATGTCTCATTCAGCAGAGAGCATTTTCCCAGTTGCTTAGTCAGGCAACCCGTGACCATGGCACATTTTCTCTTTAAATGTCCACGACGTAAATGTTACATTGTCTTGTATATTTCGTTACAGCGAACGTGTGATGAAAGAAGGTGAGATATGCAGGTCAACTCGGTGAAATCACAGCATAGTTATTGAGCGCTTGGCCCGGAATGCAGATCAAACACACGCAATTTTCAGGAAGAGAGAAAGAGAGACGGACGGGAGGCCCGCCGCTGTCGCCGTGCAGCAGCGGTGGTGGGGCCCTTGTTTTCATCTTTATTACTGTTGTCCCGCACCCAACTGGTCGCGCAGCCAGTCGAGGTACGAAGAGACGCGCGTGTAGATCCCCGGGAAGTTTGGCGTGGCGCAGTCCTTTCCCGAGGAGACGATGCCCACCACGTAGTAGCGGCCCTCGTGCGGCAGCAACAGGGGACCTCCGGAGTCGCCCTGCAACGAACAGATCGAAGAAGAAGAGCATCCGCCGGACATCCTTTCGCCCCACCGGACATTCACGGGCATCGGGCAAGGCGCGTTTCGTTGAATTCTCTCGCCCGTATTATTTTTTCTTTTTTTTCGTTGCAAGCAAGACGCCGCATTCTCCTTCTCGCATTTCGCTTATACCGTATTAACGCGTGTGTTCATCTTAGCCGTATCATGCAAGATCAAGAAGGCTGTGGGCACTTTAGTTGCATAAGATGTCAAAGGGTGTGTCAAGGGAAGAGTATGTCAAGAATAGACTAAGAGGGCTCTTACCAGGTGTACACTCTTAGAAAAAAAGGAGTGTGCTTTCTTTGGAGATTGTTACGTTTAATCGGAGAATCGAGAAACGGCAAAGAGAGTCAGCGTATTCAATTAAATCGAGTAATATATACGTTGCAAATAAGGAGTTATTGAAAAACGTAGTGCATACCTTTTTTCTCTTATATATAAAATATAATTTACCCTAGCTAAAAATTTTACAATGTTTTACATCCCGAAATCACGATATTATTATGAAAAACGTCGTACTGGAGATTTCTGGAAGTTTCGTCTACCTGGGGTTCTTTAACGTGCACCTAAATCTATCGGTACACGAGCCTCAAACATTTTCGCTTCCATCTAAAATGCGGCCGCCATTACCGGGATTCGATCCCACGTCCTTCGAGTCAGCAGTCGAGTACCATAGCCACTGATTTCCTCGGTGGATCCTTTTCCGCTTAATGTGTAGGTCGAGAAGAGCCAGTTAAGATTGTGGCAGGCGTTATATCGAGGTTATGCCAAGGCATCTGATGAACGAACTTTTTAATTGTATTCGAGTCTGTCAAACCTTTTTATCCTAGCGGTAGTAAAAATATAATCCCGAAACTGGTAGTTCATGCCACTAGTTACACGTGAATGGTGCAGCTTAGCGCTATTACTTACTGCGCAAAGTAACAAAATCCTTTTGACGACGGCAAGGACCTTTTAAATTACAAACACATTCGATGTCAATATTTCAAAGCGTATATTGAAGAAAACTAAGGTACTAAAAGCATTTGCTTCTTGTCATTTGCTTTTTTTTTGTTTTGTGCGCTGCATTGTAGCCGACCGCCCTTATTATCTGGCACTGCAGGCTCAGATTTATCGCTGTCAGAGTGACGTTGCACTGATTTACTAAAATTCTCCACACGCAAATAAAAAAAAAATCTGTAGACAGGGATTGTGTGCTTGAGCCGATGTTTTACCAGTGTATTTGTCTTCTTCAAGGCTAGAAGAGACGTTTACAGCTTTTTTCATCACGAGGTTTCACCTTTCCTTTCCTGACGTTTTTTTTTTGTTTTCACATGGTAATGTAACTTGAGACGAATGTAATGTTGTGTGTTTGTCGGTGTCTGCTGCTATAGAAGCAAAACTTACAGCTCTAGTCCCAAAAAGTGGTGGTCTATGCGTGCTCAGCGTTAAACATTTAGCCTAGTCACACGACGACATAAGAGAAAATAACGACTGTAGTAAGCCTGGCAACTGTTTCTACCATCTTGAGAGCCAAGGCAGAATAAATGCGGTGTTTAGAAAAAAAAAAAACGCATGTATTTGCCACTTGCGCTTTTACTTTTCTAACTACTGCATTTTTGGACTCGGATAAAGACTTAGTCGAACCACGTTGGGAGTAAGTTCTCAACAAAAAATTACGGTATTCCCTGCGAACTGCATCCAGGGGCACTCCAAGCTATAGGTTGAGTGGTCGCCGTTTCCGCTAGTTAAGTACTTCAAAAGAAGCTCACCAGGTGCTAAGAGGCTAAGCATCATTGCCAACGTCATTGGTTTATCGCTTCATTCGCGAATTCTTCGTACACCTCCAGTCTCCTCTTTCCAGCTGCTTTGAAAAAGCGCCATGGGTATACAGAGCTTCGTGTGACCGACAAGGATAAGAAGGCGTCATTCAGTGCTTGGCAGTGTAAAAGCCAAAGCAGTGAGCCTGTAATTTCCCCATTTGTTTCTGCTAAAAGAGTTGTACGACACGTGCACGATAGCGTCACGACAAACGATTTGGTTTTTCACAGCAGCCATACGTTTAATGTGAGCGTACAGTCCATCCAGAGCTCCGCTGGTAAAGCTTTCCGCAGTGCATCTTATATGTTCTCGTACATATACGTGCCACAGTGGCGCAGCCAGGTTGTGTCGCACCGGGCCCATGCTCTTCTCCTCATCATATTATTTCTCGCCGTGACATACAACATGAAAAATGTCGATTTTAAACAAATGCTCCCCCCCCCCCCCCCCAGTAATCAAGAAGGTGCCCTCCTTTCACCCTCGAAAAACATATTTCGCCACGCCCCTGCAGTGAAACGCGCACTCTTCGGACAAAACGGAAATCTTTCGGCAGCCAATAATTTCAGATAAGTTCTTGCTACATTTTCGGGCATTACAGCTTAGGTGGCCGAACCCTCCTGCCTTTATTGCGTCAGTCTTCATGCAGGCGTGAGGTTTCTATGGCATAGGCTACAAACCTGCACTTTTCTCTCCCCTGCCTCACGTCACAAAATTTATCAAGGAATGTACGGCAATTCCGATTGCGAGTTTTGTTCTGTCAGGACAGTAGACCTTGACTACAGCATGTGTCAAAATCACTCCCCTTGCCCGTGCCTTCGTAAGCAGTTAAGTAGTCATCAGCTGTAGGAGGCTGTCATGCGCAGCTGCAACGCCGCACTTCAGGGGGCTATCTTGAGGTGCGCTGAGGAGGCGTATACCTCGAGTGGTGTCCCTCCCTTCCCGCAGCACCATTTCTTTTGGATCGGATAAATAGTTGTTAGTCTCTCTGTCTTACCACCGATACCATTGGTGGATGCTTCACTTGATGGGGTCTTTAGGAATACCTGTCATACAGAAGTATATTGTTACGCTGAAGCAGCAACGTGTGAAGAGAGGGAGAGGTGAACGAAGCGGTCTGTTTTGGAAGCAGCTCGGTGTCGGCGCGGCTACCCTTCGCCATTCGCTCTTCAATAAACACGCCCCATCGTAACAGTTTTGGTGAGAGGTGCTGGGTACAATGATGGCGCCCCCGACGAACGGCGACTCATCGACCGCTGAGGTGCAATACGCAGAGCTTCAGAAGGGTTGAGCGGGCTAGTTGGTACAACTAGCCCGCCTGTCACCTAGCCCGAATGATGGAGAGTGGGGCGAGGCATCCGCCCGTCCATTCGTTCTTGCTTCCGTCCGTCCATGGGTCCGTCCGTGTGACCGTCCATGCGTCCATTCACCCGTCCGTGCGTGCGTATGTTCGTGCGTCCGCACGTCCATCTGTGCGTCCGTCCCTGCGTTCGTCCATGCATCCGCCCCTGCGTCCATCCATGCGTCCATCCGTCGGTGCAGCCATCCGTTGTACCAAGCGGGCTAGTTGGCGGGTTAGTTTGTAGTTGGGCTAGTTGGTACGCAGAGCTTCGCCGAATCCAACGACTTGCTTGTCTGCCAACTGCGATGGAGTCTCACGACAACAATGACAACGAGCCACCTGCTTCCCGCATTCCGTGGCAGCCCTACATCCAGCATCCATCCTTCACTGGACAAGCTGCAGATGATGTCGACCCGTGGCTCAGCTCCTACCAACGGGCGCGTCGGTTTAATGGCTGGCATGCCACCGGCCAGCTCAATAATGTAGGACTCTTTCTCAAAGGAACCGCATCTGTATGGTTCGAAAACCATGAAGAAAGCCTGACGACGTGGCGTAAGTTCGTCGATGAAATGAAGTTGCGCTTAGGGGATCCGGCCGCGAAGAAGAAGCATGCCGGGCAAACTCTTATGCAACGAGCGCAAGTCCCCGGGGAAACCTGCACGACGTATATCGAGGAGGTGCTCAAGTTGTGCAGGGCACTGGACCCCTTGATGACAGAAGAGGACAAGGTTGGTCATCTTCTAAAGGGGATCGCGGAGGACGTTCACCAGTTCCTCATCGCAAAAGAAAGTTTGGAGCGTGTAAGTGACGTTATCAAGCACTGCCGTACGTTTGAAGCGCTGAAAGCACGGCGAATTACACCAAAGTTCGGCCGCCTGCCCAACGTCACTAATGTCGCCAGTGTCGACGTGCATCCAATCCCACCGGATCTGGCGTCCATGATTCGCCAAGTAGTGCGCGAAGACCTCGACCTACGCGAGGCGGCTACTCGGCCGGCACCTAATGTCTGAGAACCCTTTCCTCCCTGCGATTTTAGTGCTACGACTATCAACGCCGCCTCCCTTGATGCCAACAACAGTACGCCTCGTCCTCGAGGGCCTAGCCAAACTATGCGTCTGTACTACCCATTGGATGACGAATACGCGCGCAGACCACCTACTGGTTATCAGGCATGGAACGGCCAGGCCAATCATCCTTCTGCTGACATCAGCGCACCCCGCGAACGTCCCATATGCTTTCACTGTGGCATCCGCGGTCATGTCGTCCGATTCTGCCCCGATCGCGGTCGCAAGGCAGCACCGTCCTATGGGCGACCATGTACTTTCTACGGGCGCAGCAATCAGCACGTTGACGAGATGCCCTGGCCCTCAGGCTGTGACAGCAGGCCAAATCATCGGGGAAATCACCGCAGTAACTCACCGGGGTCTGTGCGGAGCTTCACGCCACCGCCTTTACGCTACCGAAGATCCCCATCTCCTCGACGACGTCCCACTTCACCGCCGCCGGGAAACTAGGCGGTGCGACCGATGGAGGTGAGGTCGCCAGTCAACTTCAGCTACATGCCGCTACGCCTCCATCAGTGACTATGCGTCATAACAAGATTTGTGTTTCTGTAGACAATGTTACAACGGCAGCTTTAGTGGAGACGGGAACAAGTGTCTCTGTTATGAGCATGGATTTCAAAACACAATTAGGCCAAGGTGATGTTCAAGTGGGATAATGCGAGCACATTTCAAGCTGTGAGTGGATAATTGCTACGACCTCTTGGTGTGTGTACCGCGAACGTCTATTTCTCTAATAACGTCTATCAATTCGAATTGACAGTGCTCGCTAAATCAACGCATAATGTGATTCTGGGTCTAGATTTCCCGCAACGATGCGGTGCCACTCTCGATTGCGGTACCGGCGAGCTTTTTGTCTCTCCTTTTGTTGCCGACCAACCTGCCACTTGTTCGCACACCCTCGCCGTCTGTGAAGATTCCGTCTTACCGCCCCCGTTCGTTATCCAGCGTTCAGGCTACTGTTGATATTGCCGATAGACGATGTAGTCGACGCTGTTGTTGAGCCGATGCCATCAATCGTCGCAAAGAAGGGTGTGCTCGTGCCTCGCTGTATTGTCTTTGTGGCCTGTGGCACAAGTACATTGTGGGTGTCAAATTTGTCTAACCAGTTTGTTGTGCTTCCAAGCGGTATGCGACTTGCTTCATTTGAAGCGGATACGAGCCTTAATATCGACGTCTTAAGCAATCACGCCTCGAATGAATCCCGGGCGCATGAGACAAGCCTTGGTGTCCCCGAAGACTCTTCGCCATTTTTGAACATGATTAGTAAGACACTACCCTCTGAGAAGCATGAAGCCCTGGTCAGCGTTCTTAGCAGGCATGCTTCACTGTTTGATTTCACCCAGGACGCTACCAAAGTTTGTGTTCTCAATACGCGGGCTTGCCACAGAATTGACACGAAGTCCGCACATCCTATGAGGCAGAAACCATACCGTGTGTCTGCATTGGAGTGCAAGGTGATCGCCGAACAGGTGGAAGACATGTTGGATAAGGACGTCATACAAGATTATTCTAGCCCCTGGGCTGCACTGGTCATCCTCGTGAAGAAAAAAAAAACGGGTCCTGGAGGTTTTGCGTCGACTACTGGCGTCTAAATTCGGTGACGAAAAAGGAAGTGTATCCGCTTCCCCGCATAGACGACGTTATCGACTGTCTTCATTCGGAATCTTACTTCTCATCTGTGGAGACCCGATAGGGCTATTGGAAGGTACCTATGCATTCCGCCGACAAAGAGAAAACCGCATTTGTGACGCCAAGATGGCTTGTTTGAATTCAATGTCATGCCCTTTGGTTTGTGCAACGCCCCTGCGACATTTGAAAGGTTTGTGGACACGGTACTGCGCGGTCTCAAATGGGAGATTTGTTTATGTTACCTCGACGACAGCGTCATTTTGTACGCACTTTTGCTGAACACAACCATTGACTTGACACATTGTTTTAACGATATGTCACATTTCGATAGTAATTCGTATCTTCTCGTACTTCTGTTTTAACTTAAGCAGTAATATTTGCCCTTGTCTAACGCAACGTTTTTTTGGTTGTTTTCGTGTATTTCTGTGCTTATCATAAACCTCCAGCGTGCCAATCATCTCCCACAGCGGCGTAGCTAAAGGGGTTGGGGGCTCCAATTCTCTCCGAAAGATTTATATTTGCTTGCGTGTATACACATGTACAAATACAAACGCACGCACAAGAATACATGATGTACGATTACCCCCCCCCCCCCCCCCTTAAGAAAAAATTCTGGCTACGCCCTGATCTGCAAGGAAACAAACCATAATGTGAAGCAACATCAGCACCTGGCCTGCCGACAGTGTCTGCCGTGGTGTTATAGTGAGTACGTTGCGCGGCTGCTGATCCGAAAGTTGCGGGTTTGATGTCGACCGCGTCGACGACACTTGGACGGAGGCTGATGCTGGAGGACGGTGTACCGCACTGTGGCAGTGCGCGTTAAAGAACACCACATGGACAAAACTTCTGGACTCCTCCACTACGGCGTGTCTCATAATAGGCACTTGAGCGTATTTTTAACCATGACCTATAATATGTCTTTTTTATCTTTTGTATATAATGTATCTTTTTATTGTTCTTGCTGTTTTACACCTGTTTGCAATGATATGATCTTGCCCCTCCTGCTGTGGCCCTAAAATGGGCCTGCAGTATTGTGTAAATAAATAATCGTATCGTTGTTTTGTCGCGTAAACTCCAGACAGTATTAATATATTTGCTGATAAAACGGAGCAATAGTTTCTTTTTCTTGCGGTGTGTGGTTACAAAAAAAAAAACGTTATGCTGAGACACTACAATCTCCTCGCTTGTAATTCAAAATGGCGTCCTGACGCCTCTTGTATTTAGCCATCGCTTGTTGGTCTACACGGCAATATTGAAAGCAACTTGAAAAAACTGCAACAACAAAGAACGTGAACGTCATTCCTATTCGCATGTCGAGTGTGTCTTACCTGCAGATGCTAAAGAAAGATGGAATTGCCGCTAGTGCGGCATTCAAATTTTGGAGCCAACATAACGGTGTGGAAGGTTCTCTCTGAGTTTGCATCGGCAACTCGTTTTTGCGATCTAGAAAACTCAATCTTGACACCGACGCATTTGCATTTCCTCTCCAAAAACTGCTCCGTTTTAGACTTGTTTTTTTTTTTCGTCACTCATGATTCAGAAGAACCCTTCGCCGTTTCAATTTTCCCAGAGACCCGAAAGTTTAATAAGAAAAACTGCCTGGTTTCTTTTTTTTTTGAATAGTTGACTACGTCGTTCCCATCATCACTATGTTAGTCGTAAGAATCAACGTCAACAACAAAAAACACCAGTAACGATATATTAATATTCTACGCTTCTCTTCTCTATTTCAGATTCACTGCCGCTGCGGTATCGGCCTTGGTAGCGTTATGATTTCGCATCGCACGCATTCACGAGTTTGCCACTGCAAACAGGTGAGAACCAATTTGCATGCAGACGAATAAACGCGGGGGCAACTCCTATTCCTGTCAGAAGTCGGTGCAATGTAGATAAATGAAAAGAGAGAGCGAGAGAGATTGCATACAGAAAGAAACGTCATTTCTGTCTGCGAGGAGCACGGCTCAAAGAACGGTAAGCAGTAGGGCGTAAATTAAATCTGCCCCTCTTAACTTACCCCTCTCCCTCACCCTGTACGTTGCCATAAAAAATGTGCTGGAAAGAGCACCACATCGTCCTGGATATAAACTTTTCGTAACCACGTTCACCCATCAGATGATATGCTTGACTTCTCCACAGCGGTATAGTGAATGCGGCTCTAATGATCGCGCACTTTTTAACTGAGTTCATCCGCACGTACTTATTATTGCTTTTTTCTGAACAGAATTTTCGTAGCCTATACCTTCCCGGTTTGGACGTCGTTGCTGTAGGGTCTGTCGGTAACTCCGTCGGTATAGTTGCGGATACACTGATTTCAATCTTATACGTGCATCGAATGCAAGTTGTGTACCACTGCGCAGGCACAACTACGCATTCACCGACAACCCAGTGTCAGTAAGCGCACCTATATTTCGCAGAGAGAGCTATCAGTTTCGAACGCTAAAACCTAAGTGTATAATTTCGAGTAACTCTAAAACGTAAGCAAACTTTGATAGAGTAGTATATTGCATTCACTGTTGTCTTACTTGGTTTTAATTTAATTAGCCGCTGATTATGTACCACTGAGTGAGTTTCCCAGTTTGTACAATTTGGCGGAATGGTTATATGCTTTGAACAATAGAGAACTTTGCTTGAATTTCTTTTAGCATGACAGCGCGTGTGAAAATGTACATGGAGGTATTCAATAAACGAAGATATATATGTATATTACTTCCTTGGGCACGCGCTCATTGTCAGTATATCTCCCTCGATCAATTTTCTACTCGACCTTAATCCTGGTTACGTCACTCTGCTGGTAGTCCTACTGTGTATAACCTTGATTTGATATTCGCACTTTGGAATGGCTCACAAGCACTGTGTAAGCATCAAGCAGGACATCTAATTAGGCTACGAGAAGTTGTTAAACAAAGAACATTGTGGGAGGTAAGGTTTGAACTGGAATATTGTCTTGGTCAGGCTTTTATACGAGGACAAGTCTTTTTGTCGAAGCATTCCTCACAGCGGCAATCCTTGTTCAACGATTTCCCTTCTCTTCAGCCCACTACCACCGTTCACACCTCATGTCTCTGTGCATGTGTCTTATTTTTTCCCGGTTGGATAACAAAGCTATCCTTTCAATGACAGAGATATCAAGGTCTATCTGCATTCGTTCAAGGTGATCGGAAGGTGAAAGCGACTTTTTTTTTTCTTCTCAGTCGATGCATCGATCCCCTCATGCCTATGTCAGAAATCTTTCCGCACTTAACCTAGTTTTGAATTGCCTCCGAGATCTGAGGCATTGCAAGCTTTTTCTGCGCCCTGTTTGGTTTCGCACGGCCTCCGTGATCAGCCTATATTCGACCAAGCGATAACGGCGTGCGATGATGTCATAATGTGGTGTCACGTTACGTGGCGCTGTAACAATGCCACGTCACAAAGTATGACCATCTGTAATGTCATGATGACGTCATATGATGAGGGTATGGCGTAATGCTTTTTTTTTCACCACTCGCGTTTTTGACGAGAATTAACCTTCGCGCTTGAAGGGGCATCTAAAGTGTTCGCTCAAATGAATTCAGTTAGAAGACAGCGTTCTCTTCCTGGCTTGCGTCTGTTCCCAATTTTCTGTCGCAATGTACCTACCGCATCAAGAGCTATCTTTATTTCAATTGGCAGGAAGGATGGCGTGGGATGCCTCACCTGACACGAGTCCATTTCGGCACCGGCGTCTCCCGCGCAGAGCTGTGCCTTGCTGATGGGCAAATGTTGAGCGTACGACTTCTTGCATTCGGCCTCGGCCCACACGGGAATCTGGGCTTGCCGCAGCACGCTGCTTCCGGCTCCATCTGCACAGTGCATCCACACGATCATCGTTCATCTCCGAGTAAGTGCACACACGGCCAATGCGCGTAGTATTGCGAAGCCGTCCAAGCGGTGGCGTAGTTATATGTGGAAAGAGATATAACATATGTCCACCCATACTTGTTGCTTTAAATTTTGTATGGGTGGTTCTAAAATAATGCAGCTCCTGGCGGTGATTCAATTCCAGCCAACTAGTTAAATTTTGTAAGAGAGACTTATGTCGAGAGCACTTATTAGCCTGCTCTGCACGATTTGTTAACGGACGTCGTTGGATAGTGGTGGGCTGGCCTGCCCTATGTACTCACGTACTATCGACCGTGGTTGGCACTGACTAGTGTTGCTTAAAGTAGTTTCGTGTTGTACAATGCTGAATAAATTAAAAGTACTGTTAGCAAGATATATGTAAAGAATTGCCGATGTTCGCCTACCATTCGTAAATGTCAGCTAGTGCTGCAGTACGCTGGCTATAAGATAACGAATGTTGCCTATATACGCTGTTATGCAAATGACAAGTCTTCGTTCAAACCGAATCTTGAGGTTCAGCCATCTACAAACGTCACACGCAGTTGATTTTTTTTCAAGCTTGCCTCAAACTTACGAATTTATTCAGTCTGGGGCTACAGACACAGCTCAGTAAACTTTTGATCAGAGTCTTAGCTCGAATTATTCCAGCTGAGAAGAACGCTACTCAGCTAGACGTTTAGTAGAGTATGACAAGTTGAACTTACTCTGGCAGAGCATAAATTTTGGTGAGTGAGTTTATGGGTACGGCATGGTATGTTAAAGTTCATTCAGGTCTTGAAACTCAACCCTTGGGTCGACGCAAGTGGCTCTCACGTTGGGACGGTAATGTTTAACGTTGCCATTGTATTGTAGGCCTTCTGGACAGCCTGTGCATGGTGTGAAAATGTGAAAGAGCTCTACTGTGAAGGACTCTTTTCCATAAGTCTCTTTCCTTGCCACAGTCTGTAAAAGCCACAGGACACTGCCGAAGCATACACAGACTGCGACAAGGAAAGCCTCTGGTGGGAAAGGGTCTTTTACAGTGCAGATCTTTCACAAGTACATGCTTTTCAGAAGGCCCATGATACGGTGGCAAGAATAAACTTTAATGTGCCCACGTGGAAACCACCCTATAAGAAAAAAAAATTATAATGCGTGAATGAGCCTCAGTGTGTTTCGCTTATTTTGCTGACATATAACAGAAAAAAGAAAGCGTTTGCAATGTTTTACTGCCAGCGAAAGAACAGGTAGGTCGAAGCAGGGGCAAATGGTGGCAGATTGGGCTGACGTAAGGATTACCTGTGACAGACTTCGTGGGCTCAGGGACACCCCCTTGTGGAGTGCCTGAGGGAATGGTTGCAACATTATAGATTAACGAGTTTTTGCATCCATCGAAAAATAAACAAGGCTGGCCGGGTAAGGTTTTTTTTCGGTGATTTCTTTCCAGCCATTCAGTTCAGAGTATTCCCAAGTGACTGCGAAAGTCCTGCGGTCTCTCCCGATACCATTTGAGCAGGTGAGCCCGTGTTTCGGTCACTTTTCGAAGATTGCCCGTACCGCCACGCTGGCACGACAGTCAAGCCAGTAGACAAGGCACGGCAGGCCTGACAAGTCGTCGGAGCAAGCGGGTGCCTCATCCGCTGCACCGGCGCCCGAAATAGAATTCGTGCAAGTCGAAGGGGAGGAGACATTGCCGACAGAGTTCGGAAAAGAGCAGGGATGGTGCGAGATCAAACGAAACACCAAGAAGGCGGGTGGAGACGCCGACCCAGCGAAGAACCAGCAAGCAACGCCAGCGTCTACCGAGAAGGCGGCGTTTATTCAGAAAGCGATGCAGTACGTGCGGAAGATCACCATGACGAGCCGAATGCCCAACCTGCCAACGGATGACTACAAGATCATCGTGCGACCCCGGGATGGCTTCAACGTATCCCACTACCAGAAGGACCGCGTCCACTGCTGCATACGCAACGCTGCAGGGGTGGGGCGTGAGGTAGCCGAGGAGGACAGCGTCTGTCTCAACGAGCGACAAAACGTTATTGTGGTAAGCACGCCGTCAGAAGATCGCGCTAGACAATATGGAGGCATTTGCAAGCTGCGAATTGGCGACCGTGAGTTCGAAGCGAGTGCCTACTGAGCGGCTCCGGAGAACACGTCCAAAGGCCTCATCAGGGGCATATCGCTAGACGAAAAGCCGGCGGACATCGTGAGAAGTCTGGTTAACCACCGCAACCCGAACGTCCTGCATGCCAAGCGCATGGGAAACACGACCAACGTGATAATCCTTTTCGACGGCTACTACGTGCCTCGTTACGTGAACTACGGCGGGATGGTGATAAGGTGCACTCTTTACAAGAAACATATCGATATGTGCTACGAGTGTGGTCGTCTGGGACACAGGGCCGACGTGTGCCCCAACCCGAACGACAAGAAGTGCCGTGGGTGCGGATGCGGTAACCCGCCCGACGATCATCGGTGCGAGCTGGTGTGCCAACTGTGCGGAAAGGGTCACCTCACCGGAGACCGCAAGTGCAAAGCTAAGTACAAGACGCCCTACCTAGTCAAGCGCCGACAGTGGGAACGCAGAATGCGCGAGGAGGCTGAGGCCGCTTACAGCAGTAGCAGCACCGTCAACGACGGGGAGGAGGGCTACGGACGACGCCATGCACCGAGACGACGTCGCGGCAACAGTCGATCGGCCTCGAGGGAGACCCGCGCGCGGAGCCGCACTCGCTCCCGTACTCGTTCTCGAGCCCGCTCTCGCAGCGTCTCCCGACCCCGTTCAGCGAAGCCTCGCAGCACGTCGACGGCCCGAGCCAATCACACAGCGGCAGCCAAAGGCGGAGGAGAGGTTGACCCCCATAAATTGAGGTGTGTGTACGTCGCCTCCGGACGCGCGCCCAGCGCACGGCTAACGCGAACCGAGACTGCCATTGATAGAAACCCAGATGTAGACAGACGCGGCAGCTCTGCTTACAAACGCAACAGCGACCGAGAAAGTCTAGTGCAGAAACGATTGGATCAATTCGAATCATTAATCCAAGAACTAAAGCAGGAAAATGCAAGGTTAAGAAACAAAATTGCCACGTTGAAGGGGGAGGCCCCGACAGTTCCCTTTCCTCCTCCTCCTCCAATTAAACCCGTCGCAGCCGACGCGGCTGCTAGTACAGCCGAGAGAGTGGAGGAAGTCATGGAGGCTCAAGACGCGCACCCCGCACCCACCAAACGTAAGGCATTTGACCCGGAACAATTCGACGCCAAATCGCAGAAACGCGAGGAGAAACTCCGCGAACGAGTCGATAGACTCGACGACAAGGTAGACGCGATGATGACCCAACACGCGCAGCAAACCGCGCAACTTAACAACGCAATCGCTCAGCAAACCGCACAAACCGAACAGTTGAGCATTGCAATATCGCAGCTCACAAAAATGGTCGCGACGCTGCAAACGCGCATAGACAATATCGAAATGCGACTTCCGGCCGCAGTGGGTCGCCCAGTACGAACGACTGGGAAACCGTACTTTAGGCCGTTACCCGACGAAGAGGCGCAGGATCAGCTGGACGGCAAACCATAACACGTACAGTCACCATGGCTCGACACGAAACCACACAAACACAACGCCCACAACAGCATAACACACGAAACACGTTCACTATCTGGCAGTGGAACTGCAGGGGGTACAGGAGGAAACGGGCGCTTCTCCAACAATTCTTACGTAGCCGGCAACGACCGGACGTAATACTATTGCAGGAAACCAATGACCCGGTCAAGATGGCGGGGTACAAATCTATAGACGAAGCTGTGACCGCGGGAGCCCCACCGGCCGCTGCAACGCTAGTGCGACGCAACCTCACCGTGGCGCAACGCGAACTTATGAACGTTAGCATACCGCATGTATTCATAGAGCTCATTCCGACGAAAGGGCGCGGCCCCAGCCTGTTTGTGCTGAACGTGTATAGCAGACCCAAAGCCAGACACCGCTTTAGCACGTTACTGCGAGAGGCGCGCGAGGCAGCTGCCGACGGGCCCTTGCTCATCGCGGGCGACTTCAACGCGCCCCACGCGGCGTGGGGGTACGGCTACGAAACGCCAAAAGGTAAGCGCCTTTGGGACGATGCGCAGAATGAGGGCCTCGAGCTCATCACAGATCCTTCCGCGCCTACGCGCAGGGGTAACAGCGTATGTGCAGACACCTCACCCGACCTCACATTTACCAAGAACGTTGCTAGCGTAGCGCGCGATGGCACAATACACAGGAGGACCTGGGTAGCGATCACTCAGTGATCGAGATCCAGGTCGACGCTGAACCTCACCACCGCGTTCATCGGGAAGGTACCAAGGGCAAGAACCACCGGCTGGTGGATTGGGACGCGTTTCGCAAAGTCCGGAAAGAGCAGAATCGTGGCAATGCGGCTATTGAGGATATAGATAGCTGGACTGCGACGCTCAAGGGGGATTTAGAAACGGCGACGCGGGAGGTTCCGCCAGAAGCCCAGCTCGAAGTGGTAGACAGCAAACTCCTACACATGTGGGAAGCCAAGCGCAGCCTGCAAGACAGGTGGAAGCGTCAACGCCACAATCGAACGCTGCGCAGACGCATAGCACGGCTAAGCAGGGACATGGAAGAGCACGCGTTACAGGTATGCAAAACGCAATGGGAAGAGATCTGCAATGGGATGGAGAACCAGCTGGGACGGGCCAAGACGTGGCACCTCCTCCGGCACCTCTTGGATCCAGAGGAGACGAAAACATCGCACGCACAGAAGCTTAACAAGTTGCTGCACGACTACAAAGGCACCCACGCGGACTTTCTAGATGACGTGCGAAGCCGTTACTTTCAGTCACGTAGCCCCCTCGCGCACTCGGCATACGCCTGGGAGGGTGAGGGTAATGCGGAGCTAGACGAGGACTTTAGCGTTGCAGAGGTGAGGGCGGTGCTGCACAGGCTCAACACAAAGTCGGTGCCAGGCCCGGACGGGATAACCAACAAAGCGCTACGTAACTTGGACGATGAGTCGATAGAACAACTGACGGCTTACATGAACGAGTGCTGGAATGCGGGCGCTGTAACGAACTCGTGGAAAACGGCGCGCATAATTATGATCCCCAAACCGGGCAAACGAGTACAGATTGACAACCTTCGACCGATATCCCTGACGTCCTGCGTTGGTAAGGTCATGGAACATGTGGTTCTCGCTCGCCTTACCTACCGCCTCGAGGACCGAAACATGCTCCCACACACGATGCTGGGGTTCCGTCGTAACCTTTCCACACAGGACGTTATGCTTCAACTCAAGCACGATATCGTAGACAATCCCACACGATCCACCAAAGCGATACTCGGGCTCGACCTCAAAAAGGCGTTCGACAACGTTAGCCATGCTGCGATACTTGAAAGTATACGAGCGTTGGGACTTGGCGAGAGAACGTTTCACTACGTACGGGATTTTCTTACGGGCCGCCGGGCCCGATTAGCGATCGGCGAACTAGAATCGCAGGACATATATATGGGTTGTACGGGCACGCCGCAGGGCTCCGTAATCTCGCCCATGCTCTTTAACCTCGTGCTTGTCGGATTACCACGAAAACTCGCTGAGATAGAAGGCCTCCACCATAGCTTGTACGCCGATGATATCACCCTCTGGGTTGCCGAGGGAAATGACGGCCACGTAGAGCAAACGCTGCAGGAAGCCGTCGACGTGCTGCAGGACTACCTTCGCGACACTGGCCTCGAATGTTCCGCAGCTAAATCGGAGCTCCTGCTCTATAGACCATCGCGCAGGGGCCGTAAACCCAAGAACGCCGATTCTGCATTCGAGTGCGCATATAGAGAAATTAATGTACGCACATCAGACGGCGCTGTCATCCCACAAGTTAACACCATTAGGGTACTGGGCTTGCGCCTGTCCGCCAACGGCCACAACGGCGAAACCGTTCGCAGACTAGAGGGCGCGGTCAATGAAACAATCCGGTTGCTGAAACAAATAACAAATCGGCATAGCAAAATGAAGGAAAGCAACACCATTCGCCTGGTACATGCTTTCGCTATGAACCATATAACGTACGTCGCCTCCTACCTCAAGTGGCAGGCGACTGAACGCACCAAACTAGATTGTCTCATCCGCAAGGCGTACAAACGCGCAATCGGATTATTGGCCAATACCAGCACGGAAAAATTTCTCGAGCTGGGGTTGCACAATACTCTAGATGAGATAATCGAAGCACACAACATCGCCCAGTACGAACGTCTGGCGAAGACCAGAACTGGTCGACACATTCTCGAGACACTGGGTATAAACTACCATACGCAGCGTGGCGAAAAGGTCGGGATACCCAGACGTATTCGCGAGCGCATCATCGTTATGCCGTTGCCTAAGAACATGCACCCGACACATCACATCGGTCGGCGCAACAGGCGCGCCCAAGACCTTGAAAAGAAATTCGGCAATAGCAAAGACACAGTTTACGTGGACGCGGCCCGTTACGACTGCCACCGCGGCTTCGCGGTCGCGATCACGGATCATGTAGGAACTTGCGTCACGAGTGCGACGATAGGCACGGAAGAGACGGAGGCGGCCGAAGAAGCTGCCATAGCCCTCGCGATAGCCACCACGGACGCCGAGGTGATAATAGGCGACTCGCAGGCGGCGATACGCAACTACGCCAGCGGCCGGATCTCCCGCGAAGCGGCCCGCATTCTCCAAATTCACGAACGCAACATCTGCCGCAAAAACGACAGTTTCCTCGTATGGACCCCCGCCCACACGGACCCTCTGCTTGCGGGCAACGCGACTGCCCACGCCGCGGCTCGAGGACTTACACGCCGAGCTGCGACGCCTGCCGACAGTCCCGATGTCTCGCACACTTCGACAGCGATGCGGGAATGGACGTGGGGGGATCGCATGACCACTTTCAGAGACATCACGCAACACTACAGACTGAACAGATGCAAATATCCACCACCTCACGCCAAACTAAACAAGAAACAGCAGGTTGCCTGGAGACAACTACAGACACAAACGTACCCGAATCCGGTGATCCTTCGCCTCTGCTACCCAGGCATTTATACGTCCGACGCGTGTAAGGCGTGCGGAGCCAGAGCGACGCTGCAGCACATGCTGTGGAAGTGTACCGGTAACGCGCAGCAGTCCCCTACGAACCCGGTAGACATGGCAGTCTCGAACCGCGAGGCGCGATGGGAGGCGGCTCTGCTCAGCCACGACCTTGCTGATCAACTGTGGGCCGTCCGGCAAGCCCAGGATGCCGCCCGGGTCCAAGGACTCGAGGCCGTCACCTAGGCCGGGGTGCTTGTAGCCCCACCCCGCTCAATGACGCCGGACATGTTCAATAAAGTTTTTACTCACTCACTGGCTGGGTAAGCGTGGGAAACTAATAAAGGATGTTCGTAAAGGACTGGGGTACGAAGAATGAAATGTGGCGTGCTTTTGCTATGCCTTTCTAAATCATTTGTATCCGCCTAATAACGTGTTAATCTGCTAGTATTTTTCGTCTCATACTTAAAATTACGAATCAACTAAAGCAAGGAAAGCAAGGGAGATTGGCAACGTTGCCAATCTAAATGTTCCGAAGGGACGGTTGTCAGAGGTCGATTTAAATTCTTTGAAGTATGTGGCTGCATTTCGGTGCTGTTTCAAAACGCAACTTTCCTTCCCTTGTATTAACATTCCTCTTTTCACCCAAACACAGCTCCCTCTCCACATCCATTTTTTTTCCTTTACACATCCCTCAGAGTTCACTTATTCAAGTGTAAAGGCGCTGAAGACACGATAATAATTAAAGTCAAGCTGGCGAGGTCAACTGTAAGGTCGCCCAATTGGTTACCAGCAATAGAGTATACAGAAACGTACAACTGACTGACAGAAGGAGAGAGGAGGAGAAGATCACGTGAATGAGTTTCATCATCATCATCGTCATCATCATCATCATTATCAGCCTGACTACACCCACTGCAGGGCAAAGGCCTCACCGGGTAGGTTTTTTCACTGCAAAGAAATGCCAAGCGTAAACACAGTGGCGTCCGTTCGGGGACGCAAGACATCATATCTAGGAGCCCCAGTTCCTTGCGCCTATAGAAGTGCTGTGGTCCAATGGTGCTAGTGCGAAAAGATACTGATCGCACTTATGAACAAAAGAAAGAGAAGTTACTTGAGCGGCTCTTTGATATATGTTAGGCACAACCAAATGAACCAAATAATAGATGATTTGCAAGAGAAAACGAAGAAAAAGTTAATTCCTGATTTAAATGGAGTGTACAATCATCATAATCATCATCACCATCATAATCATCATCATCATGACTACGCCCACTGCAGGGCAAAGGCCTCTTCCATAATGCCATGATCCGCCAGTCAACCCCGTCTTGTGGTTTTTGCTGCCACGGAATACCTGCGACCTTCTGGATCTCATCGGCCCATCTAACTTTTTCTCCCCTCGTGCGCCTTCACTTGATGACCAGCGGTTGATGACCAGCGGTGACCCTTGATGACCAGCGGTTGTCCTGCCTACGCTCTACGTGCTCGCCCCATGTCAATTTCTTCTTCTTGATTTCTACTATGATATCCTTAACCTTGGTATGTTCCCTGACCGACCCTGCTCTATTCTTACCTCTTAAGGTTACGCCTATCATTCACCTTTCCATGGTTCGTGCGTCGTCCTCAATTTAAGCTAGACACTCTTCGTAAGCCTCCAGGTTTCTACTCCGTACGTAAGTACCGGCAAGATGCAGCTGTTATATACCTTCCTCTTGAGGGTTAGTGGTAGATTAACATTCATGGTATGAGAATGCTTGCGGAATGTGACCCACGCCATCCTTATTCTTTGATAGTTATTTCACTGTCATGGTCCGGCTCCGCTGTTGTAACCTGTCCTAAGTATGCATATTCCTTTACAACTTCCACCGTCTCTCCGCCTATCGCAAAGCGCTGTTTTTGGCCGAGGCTGTTGCACATTACTTTAGTTTTGTACATAGTAATCTTCAGACCTACTCTTTTGCTTTCCGTGTCCAGTTCAGTAATCATGAGCTGTAATTCGTTCCCTAAGTTACTCATCAAGGCAATGTCATCAGCAAACCACATGTTACTGAAATACTCTCCCTTAACTCTTATATCTACCTCGTCCTAATATAAGCCCCGAAAACCTCCTGTAAATGTGCGGTGAATAGCATGAGGGGTCGTGTCTCCCTGCCTTGCACCTTTCTTCATTGGGATCCTGTCGCTTTCTTTATGGAGAAATATGATGGCTGTGGATCCGTTGTAGATTCTTTTTTACGGTACAAATTGTGACGTAAATTGAAATGGTTGACAGTGGACGAAAAATCGTCCTTTCCTTTATTGGAACCAGAGCCCACGACCTATCTACGCGAAGAGAGTCCCACACCCAACGCGTGGGCTACGAGCGTTGCTGAATAACACTTCCAGGGGTTACAGGCTGAGAAATACCCGACGAAGTGGACGGGTAAGCACTTTCCTAGAGGACAATTGATGGAGCATAGGATGCGTCATTGAAAAATTGCAGTTAAGATGCTATTGAGAGAAAGGATAATTTCTTTTTCAACATCACTTCGTTTCAAATGACGTTAGACTTAGTATGCTACGTTTAAATGAGCAATTAACGTTCTCCACGCTTTCCCTAGTTCAACGGTCTGTTCGATTCACCGGGTATATCGAACTTTTGCCACATTCTGTGGGGCAACTATACCCGATGGGCGATTCTCGCGGATATATACTCACTGAACTGCGTGGCGCCCCAGCCGACGATGAAGGCGTTGTGACCCTCCAGCGTGTTCGAGGACAGGGGGCCGTAAGGTAGGCACACGGGCATCACGTAGCGCCCCCACGTGACGGGTTTGCGCAGCACGAGCAGCGCGATGTCGTTGGCGTACGTGCGCCGGTCGTAGCGCGGGTGGCGTATCACGTCGGCCACTTCGACGTCCATGGGCGTCGTGTTGTCGTCGCTCGAGTTCAGGTCGTGGTCACCCACTCTCACGGTCAGCACACGGGCGGGAAGCCTGCGTGACGAGCAGTGACAGCCGCGATGGAGAGTCCAACGTATCACTTAGGAGGCACTTCATTGGATGCGACACTGCCTCTGCACAAAGCTACTACTTAGGAGAAACTCGAGTAATCACGCATGCTCGACTGCTGACGCCGGAAGTCACAGGTTTGAACCAAGGAGGTTATACTAAATCTTTTACTGAAGTTTTATACTAAAGTTTTATATAAAGTTATACTAAAGCTTTAATATAACCTCCTTGGTTTGAACACGCGACTTTTGATGATGGGTCATTTCGATGGTGGTGAATTGCTAAAGGCGCGTGTGTTTCATAATTAGTACATATGCTCATTTTGAATCAGCACGCGTGTAGACGAACTCACAGCATGCTCATAATCATGTCGTGGTTCTGGCACGAAAAAGAAAACATAATAATATCGTTACATTATCGAGCGTAGAGCAGTACATTAAGCGTAGAACAGTGCGTAGAACAGTGCATTATATAGTGGCGCTTTTTTTTAGTTAGACCTTTCCGCAAACCCTAGGCAAACGGGGAGTTTACTATTTTTTGTTTATTTTGAAGTAACATTTCATTTCGGTAACACTGTATCTTTTTTTTGTATTTTTGCGTCGGGTGTGATGATCTTCCTGACTAGAAAGAAAGGTTAACTGATACCACAAATTTTCTTTTGTGTGGAATGATATTTTTGTGCAGCCGTGCCCCCACAGCTGCCGAATTTTATGTGGAGGCGAAAATACTTGAGGCCCGTGTACTAATAGGCTTAGATGCACGTTAAAAACCCCAGGTGACCGAAATTCCGGAGTCCTCCACTACAGCGTCTCTCATAATCACATCGTGGTCTTGGGTAGTTGAACATTGTCAATTATTATTAGTAGGTACACTTGCTTAGAGAGGCTAGATCGGAGTAGGTTGATTTAATGGCGCTGTTTTTATGTGACTGCAGGCAGCTAACGCACTTCAAGCTTCGCGACAACTTCACCGACGGCGCTTTCTGAAAACAGTTTTTTTTCTGGCAGTGTAACGAGACACTATAGCGCGTCGGGCGTGGCGCGACTGAGCCACAAATGAAAAGAAAAAAGTAACTGAAAACTATGAAACACTATTTGATCTAGAGCAATACATTAGGAGCACTATAACAGTTCCTTCAATTCTGCGGCACCATACAATTTGATTGATTACTCAGCCTAAAAAGCGACAAGAATTTGAGATCCCGGATGGCAAAAACACAGGACAGTTTCGCGGTGCTGAGGCATCTACCGCAAGATGTCTAGCTAGCTTCTACAGCATTAAACCTGATGAAATTGAGTACAGACTCGAGTGACTGCCGTTGGCGGTAATGAAATGGAACCAAGGTACGAAATGCCCATGGTGACCCGATATCTTTTAAAAAAGTGGCACGGCTAGCATGCGTCGGAGGATAGTAATGTAATGAGATGGACAGAAAGCAGAGGCGAATTCGAGGAAATGCTGTCAGGGGGCGAAGTGTATACGCCTGAGTTACTTTACAGAAGAAAAAAAAAAGGTAGGCGAAAGGTACACGTATATATAAAAGAGATGATCTTCTTTTCCTCTCACGTCGATAGCAAACTGAGTCTGTTGTGTTTTCTGGCACACACAAGCTCATAAAATAAAAATGCAACAAAAAACACCGAAAGATACAGTGAGAAAGGGATAAAGAGAGCATGAGAGAGCGAGCAAAAACTCTCTAAAGAACAGCCACAAATTACTTCTTCCATGATTTTTTTATTATCTACGATAGCGTTCCCTAAAAAGTTTACATAAAGAGAGAGAGAGAGAGAAATCTAATCTTCTCCGAGTTCTTGCCTTGAGCAGAGCAGCAATGCGCTTCATCCTCTCACGAAAGAAAAATTGTTGCGGTTGTCGGATCGATTCCTGAATGCGAAATTGATATCCGCAGCCGCCGATGTACAGTGTTTTTTCGCGTAAAACTTGCACCGAAAGTTCGCGAAGGTGGTAATGAACCCTCGAGGAGTTTGTGAGGAATTCGATCGGAAAATTTTATACCGTGACCGCAAAAGGTTGCTTTGAGAATGCGGTCTAGTAATCGCAAACATTTTTCTCGGCAACATCGCCACCAAGTATTCCAAGGCGAGAAAGAAAGAAAGAAAGGAAGAAAGAAAGAAAGAAAGAAAGAAAAATAGAAAGAAAGAAGGAAAGAAAGAAGGAAAGAAAGGACACCTTATGACTAACTTCGGAATTCTATGAATTCGGTGGCCGACATATTAGCAGTCAGTTCCGATGTAATGCGAAGCGTGCGTTCAGCGCCATTGCGGTGTGTGCGCGCCTCGTCACGGCCACGTCCGTGACACATTTCCGACAGTTCGACTGCTTTCGCAATTCACACTTTCCGCGCACGGCTTCGGAGACTTCCGTTTCAGTGGAGAAGTGCGAGAAACCATGCGGTGAAGGTTGTTTACTCTGGATGTCATAACGCAATCTCAAAGATGGTTGACGTTCCCAGTAAAGAGAAGATGACCTTAATACTAATTAACAAGTGTACAACAATAATCAGCGTGCGCACATGAAAAGGGAGATTGGAAGCTATTTCTTTAAAAGCTATACAGCGAGCGTTTCACAGTAAATTGCTATTTTCCAAACTTCATTTTTTGAGAGCGTGGAGTTATTTTGACGTTGGCAATACCATTTTTTTCTTTCCGCACATGCATAAGCAAACTTTCATGTTTCACTTTCTTTTTTTCAGGAACGTACTTTTTTTTGCGCATGTGAAATCTGCAGTAATATTCACAGAATGTTTGCATGGCAAAATATTTCATGGTGGGTTCGATGTCATGTGATGACATATCTTCGCCCTGTAGATCCACTTTTTGCTGTTATAATGGTCATTCTATTTGGACTGATCATTTTATAACCTTTAGCTTTGCTATTGGCTATAGTTCGTGCCTGCTCAGGATAATACTCTACTGCTAAACATCTGTTTTAATTTGTTGCGCATCTAGCGATCCTGCTTCCGGCGCTTTTTGATGTTCGTATAAATAATAATAATAATAATAATAATAATAATAATAATAATAATAATAATAATAATAATAATAATAATAATAATAATAATATAAAATAAATACCCACTGACCTAGACGAGGACATTGACAACAGTCCAAAATAATTCTACTTACTGCCTCGCACGCGCGCCAACGCTGACACAGTGGGCTGCGGTGAGCACGTGGCGATCAGTGACTAGCGCGCCTCCACAGCCGACTTTAGGCTGGGCCTCCGTCTTCAAATAGATAGCTGCCTGCAAAGAAGGAACGAACGTCCTCAGTTCCACGTGCAGCTTGAATGAAGAGCGCGGGCAGTGTATACCATGCAATTCAGCTACGCGTATTCTATGGACATCACACTCTCATAGGCCAGACAAGTGCATTTTCTCTATAAAATTCGTTCGCTCGAACAAAAGTAGTACAATGTCACATGCATTCGCCCGAGAAGACTAGAAGGCGGAAGCCACCTTCTGTTCTTTTTTTATTCTTTTTTTCTTCTACTCAGTCAAGTGTACCGTGGAGCTTCCTAAAATTAACAAGAGGGAGATCTGGCACTGCGACCTTTCAGACACCATAGGAATGATGGGTCGGGTAGTATGTAAATTCTCCTAGTCTTCATGCTTGCGGGTTTAGAATGCACTTGTGCCTTTGTTTAATGCACTGTTGTGGTGTTGTTTCGAATGAAAGGACAAGCTGTTTCAAACTTCGGGACCCAATTTGAATAGGTGGGCCTAAAAGGTAGTGAAATTTAAGTGCTCTACATTCGCTCATTTTGTTTTCGTGACAAAGAAGCTTCTCGCCATGCGAAGCCAACCGGAGCCGAAAGTACGAAGATTAGATAAACTCCGCGTACTACCCATCATTCCCATACTCGCTGAAGCGCCGCGCGTTGCAGCTCCTATAGACACTGGCACGAGAGTTCCCTCCAGTGTATTTACAAGAAACTCTATGGATTTTACTGATGCCCCGAAAGCTTTCTGCACGTATAGCGTGGTTAAGCACTGGCATCTGCGTGCGCATGATGTGGTTTTTAGGCGCTGCCTCCGGGATCGGCCCACTTTCACTAAGTGACTGTGTCGTGCGATCCTCCATTTATGCGATGACACGTTTCGTGACGTCAAAACGATGTCACATGCTTTCGCACCCTGTGACGCCGTACTGACGTCGTAGAAATCACGTCATTGCATGACGATTCTGTGCATCAGTTGCTTTGAACGACCCACTCCAAAGGGGACGGTGTGATCACCCATTTTAAAGGAACTCATATTCTTCGCATTTACAATAAAATAACGCTTAACTCTTGGTGAGAAAGCAAGTCACCTAATTATAAACGCTTGTTCAAGTCCGATCAACTTTCATTATGGCTACTTCAGCTTTTGACCATATATCGGAATCCCGGCTGCGGCGGCTGCATTTCCGATGGAGGCGGAAATGTTGTAGGCCCGTGTACTCAGACTTTGGTGCACGTTAAAGAACCCCAGGTGGTCGAAATTTCCGGAGCCCTCCACTACGGCGTCTCTCATAATCATATGGTGGTTTTGGGACGTTAAACCCCACATATCAATCAATCAACCATATATCCGAATTCCGCCAGCCCGTAAGTTTTACGTTTTGGAACTATAACTAAACCTTGGTCGACGGTAAGCTTTCGTGCTTGATGAGCCACACAAGGCTTCGTACTTTTGTCATTGACGTGGTGTCAGGGGATGGCGGTGCACACAAATGAAGCGCCGCCTCCTAGAGGTGTCTAAGATAGAGCACATATGGTCCCAATTTCTAAGCCAAAGCAAACCCGCAGTACATACAGTATACAACCTAGCATAACAGTTAAGACATATTATAACAGTCAAAACACTATATCCAACAATCGCATATATAGGACATGGTACTGAAAAAAGGAAACAGTCAAGACGCCTGCCCACGCACCATCCACGGCCACGCACCGACATCGGCCACTCGTCCTCCGACGACGCGGGAGTCGCTCACGCTGGAAAGTCCACAACCTGCAAACGGAACAAGACAAGGGCGCATTAAGACACCGATATCAGTCTCTGTCACTTCGTTAGGTATTTCCTAAATAGTGCAAAAGTTTTGCTATGGTCCTTTAATGCAAGAGAGTAGCATCGATAAAGTTGGCAGGTGCAATTTATTCAGGATTGTCCGAGACTTGAGCTTCCTGGCCGATATTTCGTGGCACGGAAAGGCAGGCATGCAAGCGGCGACACAGTCGTAACGACAACAACACATTCGGCCGACTATCGATTGAACGGTCATGCGGGTGAAGGAGGAGGAGGAAAGAAATAAACGGAAGGACAGGGAGGTTAGCCAGTTCTTAGACTGGCTGGCTACTCTGTGCTGGAGAAAGGGGTGAGGGGAATAAAAAATAGAAAGGATGTGTTACAAAAAGAGAGAGATAGTGAGACAGACAACAAAAGAGGAAAAGTAAGATTAATGCCGCAGCTTATATGAGCGTAGCTGAACGAATGATCTCGCCGCATGCAGTTTCAATAATTTATTCCTAAGATAACTAACGAGAGATAACAATCTCTAAATCGCAATCACCTTACAATTGTTTAAACAAAAGAGGACTGTCACCTTTATCTAAAATATTATGACATAAAAAATACGTGCAAGTATCCTTGTGTATATCTTTAGTTGACCTAGTAGCATGTTCATGCGAACTGCATCATCATGATGGCGATGTACGAACCAAAAATCTTAAGGAAGGGGTGAATATAAGATGTTACCTAACCCGTTTTGATAGTTCGCGGTATAATATGTTGTGCAACACGTACATACGTGTCAAGATAACAATCTGGCATCTTGCCTTACAAAGCTGTGCTTGAAGCCGGCAATCTCCGCAACGTCGCCCAGTGGTCTGTATCTACATATCCAGTTACACATCTGCCCCCGCAGGGTTTTGCACCGTTTTCTTCCTTTCTGTGCCTCGACACTCGTGCCGCAGCATAGGGTAGCAAACAGAACATGCGTTTGACGTACGTCACCACATTTTCCTTTTTTTTTTTACAGCGAAGCCTGCTAGAGCTACGATAAAAGGGCGCTCATGAAGACAAAATTTAGGGTGGCAACACGTCTAACGAAATTGCCATGTTATCGCGCATGCCAGAAAAGTGTATTACTTCTGTCAGTCGCATAACCAATTTTTTTTCGAAGGGGAAGGGGAGAGGATATTCAGTTTAACCCCCTCCACTTGTGTTATCCATGCTCTTGCTTGTGTATGTTTGCGCGTAAATATACGCATGTAAAAAATTGAAAAAAAAATGGGAGCGGGTGGGCTGTGACAGTAAAAGGAACCTCGGTGCGCCCACGCTGGTCTTTCCTCTTCTCAAAAAGTCGGAAGGGTTCTAATGTTTTTCTTTCTTTTTTTTCTCGCCTTCGATATACTCACCGGCCGGTAGCGTGTTGGGGTAGCCTTCGGGTAAAGGTTCAGGCGATGGGGCTGGGGCGATAGCCGCGCCGCCCGAACCTGCGCCGCGGGAGGCGACGCCGGTCGAGTTGTCGGCTCTCTCTCCCGACTCCTGTTCGGGCACGCAGCAGAGCTTGGCCAGCGGCCCTCGGTAGCCGCACACGTATCGCCTCTGTTCACTGGAAGATAGAAGCGCCAGTGGCCTGCACAGCGACGCCATGATGCAGAAGCCCTCCTGGCCATCCGGGGTACGGCAGTCGGTCTGCCTCGGAGCTGCTCCTGCTGTGTCGCGGGCAAAGAAAACACTCGCACGTCAGCGGTCACTGCACGCAACTAAGGCTGATGAATGGAACTTAATAGATAGATAGTGAGAGGCAAAGAGAAGGAGAAAGACGTTAGAAGTCGCAGGATCCAATTTGCTGCCCAGCATCGGGAAACAGGGTGGATAGATTGACCATACCTAGTTCTTTTGTTTAGTTATGTGTATGTATAGCGTCCGCCATAACGTTGTTGCGTATGAAAGAACACAACATTTAACACATTGCACACGAGCAGAATTTCTACACTTGCCCTCCATGGGAAATTTTGCTCCCTATATGTACGCAACACTTCTGTCACGTTTAATTTCAAATACATGGGCACACATGTCTCTGTATACCCGTACAGAAACTAAACAAAGTGTTGTGTGTGTGTTTCGCCCTCATGTTTGTGAACTATGCGGTTCTACGCTTCGTTGTGCGCTGTGCGATAAGGTGTCAAAGTGTTTACGTTCCTTTCTCTTTAAGTTAGTGCATTCCGCGTACACTAACATTCGCTAGAAAATGCACATGCTATAGCTCTCCGTTTATCAGTAACTAAATAAATCTTTATGGGTCGACACTGAGCAGGGGATCGTCGTGACGTATGGTACTATTATAGAGGTCGCCGTTGTTTCTAAAGCGATGGTTACGGGACTTCGAAGCAGGTCTCACCCATCGCAAGGCTGACATTTATTCGCTCACCGGTGGAGGAGTTCGTAGCTTTCCCGGTAACCAGAAGGGCAGCAACCACCGTCAGCCACAGCAGCATCTGCGAGCAAACGAACCCAAGCTTAGTTAGCCAATTTTGAGCGCTAGATTCTTTTTTCTTTCTTTTTTTTACAGCGACAGTTGTTAGCAGATCACAACGGCAGTGGCAGTGGGTAGCTGTTCACACTGATCCCCTTATGGCGCTTCGCAATAGAATAATTAATTATTTAATTAATAAGGAAATAAATAAACAAATAAATCTGGTAATGTTTGGATATCACACCAAGCTCGTACAATCTAGCCTTATTATGTTCCTTCGAACATCAATTGCAGACAGAAACTCTGCGCACAAATGTTTTTGTATTCATTTACAAGAGCTTAAAACACTTGACAGATGAATGGCGTTGTATGGAACCATCTGCGTCTGGAATGAGAGCTGATGTATTATTACGTGCACGCAATCCTCGTATGGCACTACAGCGCTATGAGAGCGTCGCGCGAGAGCCTTCGATGTTGCGTGCAGCCAAGCCAAGTTCCTTCCAGAGCCTTTCCTATCGCTCTCCCTCGCTCTGGCCGCATTGATATGATTCCCGGCCGCGTAACGATGTCCTTTGCTTTCTTTTCGGCGCTGCCTCCAAGCCCTGTTGTAGCCCGAGCCGGTCACGGCGAGAGGAAAAAGCTTTCATCGTGTTCTCGCGTGTCCACGAAACAAGGAGCCGTCCGTGTTCGTCCATTTCCTCGGGAATGCTTGTGCAGGACCCGACCCGTCCCGATACGTTGCCACTCACGTGCACCGATAACGGTCGTGGCTGTGCTGAGCCCAATAAACCATGACGACGACGGAGACCAAGACGCTGACATGAAGCCCTCGACCATCGCTTCGCCAACGCACCCCCCCCCCCCCTCCTGGCGCTTATACGTGCGTTGTTTGTGTCCTCCCGCTCATAATGAAATCTTTCCAGGAACTTGGCCATTAGCTTATCCTTACGATGCGTCTCCTTGTGTGGTTTGTGCCTCGGGTGATCGATGGGTACATAACAACTGCGGTGACTGTTTCTGGAATATGTAATGATTATGACGGACATGATAGCACGTTAATTCGCCCTGAAAACCCGCTTAGTGATTGACAAGGCAATCAATGAATGCTCGAGATCATTGACAGGGTAATCAATAAAGATAACATGGTAACAGGGTATTCAACAAAGGCATAGCACTCGCGAATCCGTAGCCCCGCCGGGGTGGCCTAGTGTCTAAGGTACTCGGCTGCTGACCCGCAGGTCGCGGGTTCGAATCCCGGCTGCGGCGGCTGCATTTCCGATGGAGGCGGAAATGTTGTAGGCCCGTGTGCTCAGATTTGGGTGCACGTTAAAGAACCACAGGTGGTCGAAATTTCCGGAGCCCTCCACTATGGCGTCTCTCATAATCATATGGTGGTTTTGGGACGTTAAACTCCACATATCAATCAATCGAGAATCCGTGGCATTGTCGACTTTTTGGCGTACCTTCTGCACGCATAAATATGCAGCTATTCATGCTATGCTTATTTACGAAAAAGTACCGTCGTAAAGCAATGAACTTACCGGAAAGTGGAATTCGCTCACGTCGTGACAGAAACGAACTCAACGCGTCGAAGCTTCCTACGTTCACTTAGCTTATTGGATGGTCGTGATAAAGAGACAGGCAGTGGAAGAGAAAGAGAAAGAACGAGGTGGTTTAGCAGAACTTGTACACTGCGTTCTCATCGTAAAGGCCTCAGTGAGAGCGTGTTGAAAAAAGGGGTGAAAGGCGAAATGAGCGAGCCCTCCCCCTCCGTCCACCTTCTCGCCCCGAAAGGAGAACGCCCTGCGCACGCATTTGCTCTGTAGGTGGCAAATACACAGCCTTTCGATGTTGTGCTTTAACACGTTCCTGTTTATTTTGTTTGTCGTGATACAAGCACTTCGAGATCGTAGTGGACATTCTGAATGAAATTGTAATTTACAGTAGTGGGAAACGTGGACAAATACGGATTTTATTTTCGTCGCTTTTCTATTTATGAATGGAGATGGGGGGGGAGGGGGGCATGGTTGGTATTGAATGAAAATTTTCTAATCAGAATACTTAATTGCCAATTATTTTGCAATTTGACGAATTTCGAGTCGAGAATGCGAAGCTATGTCGCGAGACGACGGTGAAGTTGAAGCGTTGCCATGCGACAATGCAATCTGCGTAACGCACGTGTGCTCTTCCGCTATCTCTTTCGGATAGTAACTGAAGGCGGGAGCGTGACACGCCTATCGGCCAAAGTTTCAAGTGGGCAGTTCAAAACAGCTTCCACAGAAGAACTCGACACTTATGCAAAACCTCTTCATTGTCAGCACTATAGTGTGCTGCAACAACTTGCACATGACAGCCAAATTATTTACATTCATATTTTATAATGTTACTGAAGAAGGCAAGCGAATTATGCATCAAGCTTCACAAGTGAAGAGAATGAGGGGCCGAAATTGGAGAACTTTTGTTTCTAAGAGCGTTTTCTTATTGGTCAGCTGGCTTCGCTAATGATATGTCCCGCATCGTGATTGGCTCAAATACTTTCTTACAAAATTCTTAGCGTATGACGTTTTTGTGTAGACTGCCATAAATGCTCGTTTGAGGAAGTCACGGACAGTGTGCTATGGGTCGGTGTAATTATGATGATGCATGGTGGCATGTAACCTACTCTAGTCATGGAAACGAAGGTGAATTTAAGGGCTCGTTTTTTCGGAAGACACAAGAGTATTGAGAACCAGCAGAAAATTACGCCATGGAAAGTATAGGGGACGTTATTAGAAGTGATTGCAATGTAATTGTGAAGAAAGAAAAGTGGACGAAAAGATGACTTGCCGTGGGCAGGCACCGTACCTGCGACCTTCGAATAACAAGTCCGATGCTCTACGAACTGCATGAGTTATCACGGCGTCCATCCCCCGTCCACTTTATGCGGTATGTATGTGCATTTATACGTGGGAGCGTTAGTCAGTGCCACCTGTTGCGATTGAGGCCAGTGCTCACTCATTATTCCAACACACCGCCGATCGTTCGGTTCAATGTACAGGCATTTCAAATTGCAAGTATCAAAGTTGGGCACAGCTTCTTGTAGAGACCTTACAAGCAGGCACAATTTTTGATTGCCAATCAAAAAAATGTGCACACTGGAATCAGCACACTGGAATAGTAGAAGAAAACAGAGGCTCTGTTTTCTTCTACTATTCCAGTGTGCTGATTTCGTGAATATGTGTGACCCCTTGTTTTGCTTCCAATAATCTAAGCAAGGAATCACGAGTGAAATACGTTATTCCTTTTCGCCCGACTGCACTATAGTGCATTTTCCCCCTTATCATTGAAAAAATTGTAGTGTCCGATTTCTCTCACCAACTGGACGTATGCTTCCAAATACTTGTCGCAAAGCATGATGAAGAAAGAGATGAGTGGCATCGATTTTCTTCCATGGTGTTAAAAATGAACGGAATTTCTATAGCTTTCGGGAAAGACGAGATGTATTTTAGATGTATTTTACTTTCGTTTGCCATTCGCGCCTGCAAAGACAAACTAAAAATTGGTTGCTAGCTTAATCATAATAGTGCTGGTGTCATGACAGCTGATGGTCAATATAACCGATAATTTAGAAATCTTTATCCGACACTACCAAGTGCACTCAACATTATAATTAGCTTAGTAAACGTTAGTAATTTATAATCCAAATATAGCTACAATTCGACAGAGCTTACGAGTGCTCTTATTATGCAACTAAATACGGTAATTGAAGTCTCATGACTCAGCGAGACGCTCTATTGGGCTACGATGCTTTCGGGATTTGTACATACTTTTCGTCAGAAATCTGACATCACGCTTCTTTGCAGAATGTAGACAAAAGGGGACGAAGAAGACAATATCCTAAAAAAAGCGGATGGGGGAGGTTGTTTCAGTCAAAACAACAGCTTAGCGTGCAGTGGTGTTCCCGGTTTCGAGATCGCATATACGTTTTCTCGATCATCAAGCACAGTGACTTACTCGTAGCCTCCGAGATGTCAGATGCACACGAATGAGCTAAAACCGGCACTTACCGTCTCCGCCATCTTGTGCATACACTCGCGGAGGCACGATGTCACCGCAACCGGCGTAATATCCGAGTCACTAGTCTCATCAAAAGGATTACGGATGGAGTCGTTCTCTACTCGACACCGAAGACGTATGTGTTTCTGGGTCCTGTTTACTGAGGCTCTGCTCCGCTGGGTCACCCGAGAACGAGGGGTAATCTCCTGAGCTCCATATCAACGATTGTCGCTCAAGACGCCGTTAGGCAACTGCCTCTTGTCAGGGCTCGTATTCGCGGGGTGAAATATGGGGCATTCTCAGGTTGGCGTCGCATAAAAACACGTGCAAAAGTAAAGAAAGCCCACCGAATGCGTTAGATACGTAGCACATGTATGCCCCAATTCTGTGAGCCTGCCTGAGTGGATAGCGCGCGGATAAGTGGGTGATCAAACACACTCGAAGCGTTTTTACTGTAGTGACTCACATTCGCATTGTTCACGCAAGATACGCCTACACAGAGAGCCTGTTAGGGCACTTGAGGAGGAAGTACAAACACTCCAAGGGAGAAACAAAAATACACCTTTTACCCTTGTCAGTGGGTTCTTACTTGCCACGTATGTGACTCTATTTAAAGAGCGTTCACGTGTCTTCTTAGAGAGGCTCATGAATAGAGATGAACAAGGTTTAAAAAAAAAATCTAGACGACTCTATCAGAAAGCCCAGTACAATATTCACGTGCTTCGAATATGAGTGAGATTTGCGGCCTTATGTGTTTGGTTCCTTGGGCTAAATTGGGCTAATTGGGCTAATTGAGACTAAACAAGACTAAAAAAAAACAAACTGAACGACTTTATCAGAAAGCCCATTACAATATTCACGTGCTTCGAATATGAGTGAGATTGGCGGGCTTATGTGTTTGGTTTGTGTTTGGTTCCTTCGGCTGACCAATAATTGAGACATTAGTAGTCTGGCCTAACGCGTCGACGTGCTGTGAATTCTGGCTAGTTTCAACAGAAAGTTTCACGGTCTCGGTCTTTTTCGATGAATTATAACCGCTTATTATTAATTCTCTAGTAAAGCATCCGGAGAGACATTGCTGCCAGTGAGGCCCTGTACAAAGAGGCTGGATGATCTACTTTCCTTTCTTCAAATATTCTATCTTCCTCCCCTCTTATGTTTGACGACATAGCCAAGATAATATTTCAGAATGTTACGTTCTAACGGGCTTTCTTTCGCAACGCTGAATAAATCTTGCGCCTTAAGTTTCGTGGGACTCTAATTGCTGGCGCCAAAAAGCCTACTTATCTGCATAGCTGCTAGGCCATGCTCGCTGGTGTCCTCTTTCGTCCAACTGTGCAAAATGTCCCTCCCTGCCTGCGTTGACCGTTAAGAACGACCGCCCCAGTGATAAGGTCATCCGTTGCATCAGCGGTCTCTTTGAAATCTTAGGACAGATCTCTCAGGTACATTTTTTCGATTAGTCTAAAAGGCATAGCGTTGTAGGTTTCGGGGTTTATTGAGCGAGCGTTTCCACTTCGTGGGTAGTTTTAGAGACGAAGCTCCTTAAACGGCACCCGTTCGTCCCTCGTCGTAGTACGTAACATGTCACGCTTTGACCTGCAAGGTCGTGCCGGTGGGAGGTTTTTCCTGTGCGTTGTTGAACAATGAAAATTCGCAGCGTGCGCGTTAACTAAAAGCCGAATTATCTTGTCTCTCATTTCCCATTAGCAGCCATTACCGTGTACATTGAGCACTATCTGACAATAAAGGGTTGCTACGTTATACTCGCTGGGCGTAACCTCCATGGTTTTAGAAAGGTTTAGCGAGCGTTGGGCCACAGTGCCATGAGTACAGTGAACTAGTATATACCATGAACTCGAGATGGTTAAAGGTGGGAAGTAGATACGAAGCGCAAGCCGTAAGAAAGTAGAAGCCGAATTCTCCTTTCTCTCATTCCCAATTAGCAGCCATTGGCATGTACATTGAACACTATCTGACAAGAAAGGGTTGTTAGGTTATACTCGCTGGGTGTAAACTCCTTGGTTTTAGAAAGGTTTAGCGAGCGTTGAACCACAGTCTCATAAATACAGTGAACTAGTATATACTATGAACTCGAGGTGGTTAGAAGTGGGAAGTAGACACGAAGCGCAAGACGTAAGAAAGTGTGCGTGTGCCACCTCTAGTTTAGTCGAGAGGTTTATGACAACGTGTGGCGCCCGCTACCTCGCTTGCGCCATAGTTGCCATCACGATGTTGTGAACAAGCACATAACCATACAAATATTATTAGAATATATTAGAAATATCATTTGCAGGATTTGCCGTCACTTCTCAAAAATAACCCCCAAAAGTTCTGGCAAATAATTTCACCCTACAACAAGTCTACTAATCACATTACAATACACGATAATGAACTAACGCCGCTCTCTGCTGAAGCTTCCGCTATTGCTTTCAATGAGTACTTCACCTCTGTTTTTACAAAGGAAGATTGTTCCAATGTGCCATTTGTTCCAGATCACCCTTTCGCTTTAATGGCCCCAATCATTGTCACTGCTAAAGGTATAGCACAACTCATCACGAATTTTAAGGTTTCTACTTCATCAGGCATTAATACCATTAACTCTAAGATACTGAAGAACACCACAGATATTTCCAGCCGCTTCCTCTGTCTCCTATTTAACCAGTCGCTATCATCAGGTGAGCTGCCCAAGGATTGGAAGATTGGTAAGGTAATTCCCGTATTTAAGTCCGGTGACAGGCACTCGCCCCATAATTATCGACCCATTTTACTTACATGCATATCCTGCAAACTACTTGAACATATCGTGGTTTCTCGTATCTACTATCACCTTGAATAAAACAACTACTTCTTCTCTAATCAGCATGGCTTTAGAAAAGGCTACTCATGTGACACCCAGTTATTCGAATTCACGACTGACCTTCACTTTAATATGAACGCTAACAAACAAACCGATTGCCTCTTCCTTGATTTCGCCACGACATTCGATACTGTCCCTCATTGTAGTTTAATCTCTAAATTGGCTGCATTCCGTATTTATTCATTAATCCTGTATTGGCTACGAAGCTTTCTAAGGCTTCGCGTGAGCAACTTATGGTGACCAACGACATCTCATCTAACCTTTGCGACATCACATCTGGTGTTCCCCGAAACAGTGTAATAGGCCCGTTACTTTTTCTAATATACATTAATGATTTGCCCGATAACCTTTCATCCACAGTTAGGTTCTTTGCCGACGATTGCGCCATATACCGCAACAATAAATGCTTTATTGATCATTCCGCTCTACGAAATGACTTTGACCTAACCTTCCGGTTGTGCGAAACTTGGCAGATGTCCCTTAATGCCTCTAAATGCAAGTTAGTCTCGTTCACCCGAAAGCATACCAATTCAGCATTTCACTATAAGATTAATAACGCCGTTGTTTCAGCTACATCATCTTACAAATATTTAGGCGTTCACCTTACATCGAATATATCCTGGACTACGCATATAGCAGCTGTCTCATCGAAAGCCTCTCAATCTCTCGGATATCTCCACAGAAACTTGCGCAACGCTCCTTCTAACGCACGCACATTATCATATATTACTTATGTTCATCCAGAGCTAGAGTATGCATCATCCACATGGTCACCATATCAAGAATACCTGGTACGTATGTTGGAAGCCACCCAGAATAGGGCAGCGAGATTCATCTCTGGAAACTACGACTATCATTCAAACATTACCCTAATAAAACAAGGCCTTGCATTGCAATCACTGGAAATGCGCGGCCACATTGCTATTTTATGTCTGTTTCATAGGTACATTTAACGTAACGAAATTCATTGTTTGCCACTTTATTCTCCTGCGCGCACTTCCCAGTGCATTCACAATGCACGCTGTTTCATGCGCATTCATGGTCACACGCAGGCAGTGAACTTATCATCACTACCTCGAGCCATTGCATATTAGAACGATCTTCCGGATCAAGTTGTATTCATTTCTAACCGTGATTTTTCGTGATAACCTGATTTCGTTGCACTTATTTGTATAACGCTGTTGCACCTTGATTTTTGTAATCTTTTTTTAGATATATATTTTCGCCTGCTTTTCTTCTTTATTGTTATTTCGTTTTTATACTGACGACCCCCTTACTCAATGCCCTTCAGTGGGCCTGTAAAGTATTTTGAATTAATAAATAAATATGCACGTAGATGAACGCTCACGCACTTATCCCCAGTAACTCGCCCCGCCGCGGTGGTCTAGTGGCTAAGGTACTCGGCTGCTGACTCGCAGGTCGCGGGTTCATATCCCGGCTGCGGCGGCTGCATTTCCGATGGAGGCGGAAATGTTGTAGGCCCGTGTACTCAGATTTGGGTGCACGTTAAAGAACCCCAGGTGGTCGAAATTTCCGGAGCCCTCCACTACGGCGTCTCTCATAATCATATGGTGGTTTTGGGACGTTAAACCCCACATATCAATCATATCAATCAATCCCCAGTTCCTCAACACAAATAGTGTTACACTCCACAGAAAACTTGCTAGACACAAATATTAACATGAATGAAAAGTCCCCACATAACGTATAAGCTTGCCAAGACTTTGTTACAGCCGATCATTAGGCACTTTGAAATTGCCGGTTAGGTGACACAAATTCGTTTTTTATTGATTTTTTATGGCGTAAGATCAAACAATTACAGCTGAAAAGCAAAGGTCGTTGCAATAGTCCCTACAGGTTGTAATCCATTCGCGGCTTGGCTGGGATCGGAAAAGGGTCACGGAGATAATGGAACGCATTGCTATCCATCGGGTGAGCATCAAGGAAAATAGCTGATGTCCAATGCAGCAATATTACCGTGTCAGTAAGATGCCATTGGCTCTTTATAAAGAAGTTTGCACATCTGTTCATGTGTTAACGTTTGTTTGTTGCGCGGGCGTATACACATGTGAAATAAGTTCGTGCACGCTGATGGGGCATCGCGTTTGCCTACACTTGAACCATTTGTATATACAGAGCGCCATCACGATTCAAGAGTACGGCGGCGAATACATGAATTGACGCGAGTGCATATGTATGTCCTCTGTCCACTAGGCACACACGTCATCATCACGCCTATTCTTTAACCCCGTACTTTGCCAAAACTAACACATTTAAATTTCCATTTTTTTCCGCGTACTGTGTCAGAGTGGAACTGCCTGATTGATCTCAGCCAACTTTCGGTTGTTTAGAACTAAAATGGGCACTGTGAACTTGTGTTCTGTTGCTATTTCATGTAA